ACACAATTCCTCAGAGATTTCACCCACACAGTACAAGTGGAGTGCCAAGTGCACATGAACAGTACAAACAGGACTGATCATGCCACTGGTTTGTAACCACAGACAAGAAAGATCTGCTGAACACAAAAAGATTTGGGAGAAGGCTGCTACACTTTCCCTAACCCTTACAACAGAGCACTTGTGATACAAGCTGATGCTTTAAGTGCTCTCACAGTATTGAGATTTATTCTAGTCTGCATCCTCTGAAACAAATTAGTGCTTTGCCATTGCCATCAGTAAATGCAAGGTCAGACCTTAATACAAAATACTACGTGGTTTGATCACGCCATCTAAAAGCAAACACTGAAAATACTGCAAGACCAAACTTATTTTTGCCTTAAATGTTTTCATGTTTGTTCAACCTTTCACATCACAAAACCAAACAAAGCTTTATTGAAATCAACCTTGGATAACCAAACTCAATTCTAAATATAAATTTAAGTAATGTTGAAACATCAGCTTTTCAATCAGCTGCCTATTAATGGATTCACACCCCTTCAAGAGAAACCAAGATTTAGACAGAAGCCTCTTTTGTAGATACCCCTAGTTTCAATTTACAAAACGTTTTGCAGTAGCTCATTACATATTTCAGTCCAACAATTACAAGTCTTTCAAGACAGCACATATACTGAAGAGCTCCTTTGTTTCGTATATAAAAGCTACTGTAGTCATCAACAGCTGCAAAGACAGAAGATGACACAAGCAGGAACAGACTGGTAAACTTTGTCCTATAGTTATAGCACTGTACATTTAATCTTAGAAAAGTTTTTGTTCATTGTAGCCTAATATCATTCAGCATTTTCATTAAACAGGATCTCTGTCATCCTGCTCTCAGAGGAGAGCGCTTAGATATCAATCTCACCATTTACAGGGTGAGAAAATAGACACAGATGCCACATCTCAGAGAGCTATGATAAAATCAGCTGTTCTACTGTCTCAAAGTCTGGATACAAGAAGTCTCATCCCAAAGTAAAATAATAACATAGCTCAAACTTTTGAGTTGGTTTTTTTTTTTTAAGAAAAACAATCCTACTTCTGAATTCTGGATTTCATCATTCAAATGCCGTGTTAGTAGTAAGGCAAGTCACAGTTCATCTATTTTAAGATAAACTTTACAAATATGGAAGTCATTGTTTCTATAATTAGTTGCTCCTAAGTGGCAGATACCTCGGGAATGGTAAATATGCAGTCCAACTGGAAACACCAGCAGCAAGCCATTTAACGAAGCACAAAATTTAATCTTCCCTATTTACATTTAACATAGTCATTTCAACACAGCACTTAAAGCAAATACACTATGAAGTGACTCTCTTTTCCCTCAACTCATAGAAAGGGAATTGTGCGTAATTCTCTTCCCTTTCACAGCATTAAGTAGCATGTTCAGAGCATAACAAAGCTTAATATTTAACATTTTTACCTATATATAGGAAACAAGCAAGTGACACAACATGACAAGCTGGCATGTTTAAACTCAAAGCCAGAATATTCTAAGAAAAAAAAAAAAGGGGGGGGGGGCGGAATTTAATACTCCCATAAAGTTTGTCCAAAGACAAAAAAAAGCTACCAAAAGGATCCTCTTCACTAATCTACTTTACAGCATTTAACAGTACAAACTTCTAAACTCATGGTATCCAAATGAAGTAGTATTATCTGAGTGCTTTGTAGACAGTGTACTAAAAGGATTAATCCAACCTATTTATGCAAATCAGTTTCCTGATCTCCACAAACTAGTAAATGAAAAATAATTTTTTGCTCAAACTGTTAAGATATTCATGGAATCGCATCAATAACATTTAAATTCACCAAAGAACATATTCTACAGTAAGACAACACAAAACTCACAAAATCCAACACTGTTCTGCACTTTCAAGATTCAAAAGAAAGCAATGTACAGGTAAGCAGAGAGTTTCCAGTTTTCCTCAGTTGAAAAATCTGCCATGGGTAAGAAGAAACACTGAAGGAAACTGGACAGGACAAAAGAGCACAAAACATTGATCTAGAGCCACTTCTGTGACAATCATAGTATCAAGCCACCTGTTGAGTGGTCACACATAGCAGAGGGAAACAGAACAGGCCGTCTTTAAGCAATACTAAAACAAAACACAGGTCACTGATTTTGCAACTTCACCTGATTTCTCAACTGTACTAAAGGAACCAACTGTCTTAATCACAGAGCAAGACAAAACTGTAAGACTGAGAAAAATCAAAGCACAGCAGTACCTTTGAAAGGGGAAGTTGTTTTTCTTTAGTTTTCTGTCATATTCTGCTTAAACAGAAAGAACATCATCTGCTGAATTTTCTCTCTTGTAGGAAAATAACTGCTGAAACCCATATATTTTTAATGGGAAAATTTTGTTCTAGTGTAGACAGAAGTAAACTTACACACCCACTACAAAAATGACAACTATTCCTATCAAAAAATAATTGTGTTTAAGCAGGTTTACTCCCTTTTCATCTATGTCAGCTGCCAAAATATCACTGAGAATATTATAACAAGTCATACCAGAAATTAGGTAACAGAAACCTTAAAGGCAAACCAAAATCAATATCTTTTTTATCAATTAGGTGTCCAAATGATCTTGCAACAAATCTCATACTGATTCACTAAGCCAATGCCACAAAATTCTGTTTAACCATCATTTGTGATCTTCCTTTACTCTTGAAATACCACACTAACACAGCACAACAGTCCTAGCTGTTCATACTCCAATTTCACAGTAGTTACTCCTATAAGCACATACAGTTACTATACTGTGCCTGAGAGAGCATTCTGAGGGAACGGAAGGGGAGAATGAGCACTGCTAAATACACATTTGTAGGCTTTAATATTCATTTATCAGATATCATTCAGTACAGGAACAGAAAGGAGCCCAAATAAAAAAATGAAATGGCTCCCAAACTGATGCAACCTTACCAAACACTTATGCTGGTAACAAATTATTACATTCAATTCTTACAGCACAAAAGCTTCAAACCCAAAGCATCTAGGAGTCTCACATCAAGATGCTACTGCATAATGAATGGACAAAAGCAACAAGATTGTTTAATCATTTTAGAAACTCAACAGGTATTAATTATTTATCTGACTAGAAGCCTTACTAGGGGATAAGGAAGCAACAGGACCTGATATGCTGCAAACATAATAAACAAGATGATTCCTGCTTCAGAGCTTAACTACACCTTCAAGTTGAAATACTGCACTTAGTTAAGACAATCACTCAGAGTCAACACTTTATACTGTAAATAACATAACAACTCGCTGTTTTCATGAACTATTTGACAGATGAAAAGAGAGTGGTTTGATAAGGATACGTGTGTGAACCTCCAGTACTGAAGAGCTCAAGCAACAAGGAATAAATATTTCACAAGTGTACTGCAGTACTAACTGCAGATACAACGGGGGGGGGGGGGGGGGGGAACCCCACCACACCAAAATCCAAGATTTTAAAGCAAAAAGTACTACAGATTAGACTAATGCAAATTTTACAGAATAAGATCACGTTTTCTACATGAAAGCAAATAAAAAGCAGTAAAAAAAATTAAAATCATTATCCCATCAGAAAGCCACAATGGGAGACATACTGTAACAAGACACACTGTTCACAAACTTCCTTAGATATACGTATAGAATGAAAAGCAGTGAGTCTTTACTGAGTACATAATTAGTCATTATCTATTTTGCTACAGGAACCTGTGTTATTTAGTTCCTTAACCCTACTATTAGAATCCCTGGAGACACCAAAGCTGAAAACTAGGAAACAAATAGCTGTAAATCACCATTTTTTAACACATTCTGGTGAAACAGAAGCTTAGAAGTAGTATCAGGCTCTAACAGATGACATCATTCATGTCAGATACATCTTTTAGAACTACCTCCTGATGATGAAATGTTTTATTGCACGTATGTAACAAATCATACAAATTCTTAAGTCCTTGGTGCTGTTTCTTCATACCTACACTAATAAGAGCTCGTAAGAATAAGGCAAACTGATTACCTCACAAAGCCAAGTTTAATACGGAAGAAAAAATATAGCGACCTGTAGAATTGGTGAGCTACACCCACTCAGCTCTGAGGAGGCCATCAGCTGTGTCCTATCACTGAAAACCCAACCGTGACATTTACAGGATTTCAACAAGAGCGATACCTCGATTGTGTTGCTAAGTTCTCAAAGAAACCTGTTTCCTTCCCAAGAAACCAAGTCTCTACTAATGACCAGGCAGGCTTAAACTAAATGTCACTAACTGCAATACTTCCCTGAGCTTGAAACAAAGCCTGAAGGAACAGGGGGGAGAAGAACACACCCGAGTTCTGAATTCCCTTGGCATTCCCAGGGGAGCCGCTCCCGGGTTCCCGGCTCCCCCAGACAGCCGGGCCGGGCGCGGCCTGACGCCTCCCGCCCGGGGAGGAGCCGGCGGCGGCGGACACACACCGAGCTCCGCTTCCAGCCCGGAGACCGCCCTTCTGCACCTCCCGAGGCCGCTCTGCGCCGGGGCGGGGCGGCGGCTCCTCACGGCCGGTGCCGGCGCCCCTCACGGCCGGTGCCGGCGCCCCTCACGGCCGGTGCCGGCGCCCCCGCCCCGCAGGCCGCGAGCCGCGCCCCGCCGTGCGCTGCCGCCGCTCGGCCGCTGCCGCCGGCCCTACCGGGGCTGACACGGCCGGGCCGGGCCCGCTCCGCTCCCCACCCTCACCGCAGCCCCTCCCGCCGCGGCTGCTCGCGGTCCCTTCGTACCTTGTCCGCTTTGTCCATGGCTCCAGCTGCGCCGGGCGGCGGCTCTAATGAGGGCGGCGGAGGGCCCGGGCCGCCTCCCCCATGGCGCTGCTTCCCCCGCCGCGCTCCGCACACGCCCGCAGCGGCGCCGGCCCCGCTCGCGGTTATCACGGGAACCGGGACCGGCTACGCCACGGCCGGGGCGGGACGGGCGGCGGGGAGGGACCAGCTGAGACGGAAGCCGGGCGGGCTCAGGCTGGGAACGCCTTCTCTCCCCGCCGCGGAGGGCGTTCCCTGCCCGCGTTCCGTTTGCCCGCAAACAAGCGGCCGTGACACGAACGTTGCGGGAAGCCGCGGGAGTGAGCGCGGGGAGCGTCGTTCCCCCGCCCGGGGCCGCTCCGCCTGCGAGCGAGGGCGGCAGGTGCGATGCGGGCGCGTCTGCTCGCGGGCGGCGCCGGGGGAGGCTCTGGCCGACGGTGTCCTTGAAATTATCTGGAACACCAAGGGGAAAAAAAAAAATACCCCTGTGATTTACTTAGAGGCAGAAATCTAAAAATGTCGCAGCAGCGTCTGGAGTGCAGGGCTGGGCTGTGGAGCGGGTCCCGTGTGTGCAGCGGCTCGGGCGGCAGCAAAGGGGGCAGGTTCTGAGACGCGAGGCTGGGCACGGCTCGTGTGACGTTCCTTTATTTTGCTGCCCTGCCGTAACATGCGGTGAATGATGAGTGACGGCAGCGAAATCCGTGAGACCGTGTGCAGCCCAGGCAGGAGAACGGAACGCATGCAGGAGCCGGACTGCATGAGCCCCTAACAACACACGGTCCCGGACGTGTGTGCTGCAGGGATGTCCCCGCGTTTCATTGCGCCAATTGGTCTGCCGCCTTGGGTGTAATGGAAATGAGGCATCATTTATTTACAACTTGGTTGATTCATGGCAAGGGGAAAAAGAAAAACAGAACTAGAATAAGTACCTTTGTGAAAGAAATATACAAAGGATATCCCAGATCAGACTCTTGAGCGCTTCCAGGTGAAATACATTATAAAAGTGTTATGTATTAATACATATAGTCAGGTTCCTGCTTGATAGAGGTTCTTCTGAGGAATAAATGGCTTGCTTTTTAAAGAAACAAGTAAGAAAGCCTGAAAGTATCTGAATTTGACAGCAGTAGAAGCTATCAAGAATGTCTTGACAGACCAATCTTGCTATAGCTTCCTAGATTGAACCTTTATTTTATAATTAATCTTTCCAGATTTATGATACCACATAACAATTTTTCCTATGTTATAAAAATTTTATTTATTTTATAAACCAACATAATCTATTTGTACTTTCTTTGGAGTTGCTCTTCACCATTAAAACTTCATATGTAACATATGGGATTATGAAGAGGGTTATTGCATTGCACAGCAAGATCTCATCTTGTGAACAGATGAGACAAACAGAGAATTGTGCAGACTGTCACTGCCTTCTGTGCTATTCCATCCACATCAGCAGGATCACCATCTAAGTGTAACTTTTGCCTAGATGTCTGCAACATTACGTATGTTCTGTGATTTAAGTTTTCATGAGATCAAAGTACACAAAATCATAGGTCCTATTGAGCATATGGGAAAAGGGTGGGCCAGGTTGTAATCCCAATTAAATTTAACTTTCAGGTTTCTACTAACTTCAGTGAGGACAGTGTTTTACTACCAGTGAAGGGAACAGGAGAGCTGCTGATACAGAAACCTCACCTGAACTAGAGAAGCGGCAGCAGTTGTATGCTTTATATGCACTTCTGTAACCCAGAACTTTTCTTGACAAGATTGAATGGTCAGCAGAACTCATGTAAGTGTTTATAATGCTGGGAAACCATTTCAAGGTGGTAAAACAGACTAATTTGAGGTTACGAGGTTGTGTTCCCAGGGGCTTTTACACAATGAGATTTGTTATTTCAACACAAGTCATGAAAGTAAAACTGGGTATTAAGCTGGTTGTACACAGAGCTTTCAGCTGATGCAATTGAACAGCATTTCATCAGTAAATGATGAACTTAAATATGAGATGGAAATCTACAGATAAATAATTATGAAACATAAGCTACCTAAACTTCATCTCACTTAAACAACAAATCTCTACTGAGAAAAATGTATTTCATTCCTAGTAGTTGAATGTGTTTTGCTTATTTGTGTGAAATTTGGTAAATTTACTTCAAACTTAATCACTTTTCATCTCCAAGTAATGTGGGAGAACTTGCCTGACTGGACAGAAAACAGTGAAAAAATCCCACTGAAACAACTGGAACAATCGTCTTCTTGTATTAGCACACGAGTGTTTCAGTGTGGAATGCAGCTTAATTTGTTCAAATTGATGCTGACCATGGAATATATATTATGACATTTGCTTAAGATAGTTGCTGTGTTTTTAAAAAATAATGACTCATTATGGCAAGGCTGTCCGTTATGAAATTCTTCTTTTGTTCCCTAGATACATACCAACAGAAAGGTCACACTTGAAAGGGCTGTTATGCACACTCAAATAACAGGAATGTCGAAGATCTAAATTGGGCAGTGATTAAATAGACATCAGATCTACATGAATCTATACAATATACATAATACAGAAAGTCATGTTGGGTGACCTGAAGTGCCACTCAGGTGAAAAAAACTCAAGTCTCCCATAAAATTTAAGTGTGTTATCACCAAAAAGAAAAACAAAGCACTCAGAACCAGTTATGTTAGATCTTCTATCCACAGCTATCACAAATATGCCAGGGTATCTGGTTACAACATCATCTTGATCGACTGTTGTGTAAGAGAACTCGATGATGATGTCACAGTTCTTAAGGAAGCCATCAAAAAATTATACAAACCCTGTTGAATTTTAAAACACTTGGTAGCTGCACATGGTTGAATTTGAACATCCTTGGTAGCTGCTTTTTCATACTCAATCATAAGGGTCCAATTCTCAAATCTGGCAGTTTGTAAACAATTATTGCTACTTCTTTGCTGCAAGACTGAGTAAGTGAATAGTTCATAAGCAAAAATGATGGTTGAAATCAGCAGGTGCTGACTGCAATTTTGCTACTAAGTTTGTGACTTTACTGCTGCATCTACTGGGTAGTGGAGATATCCTTCCTGAACACAATGGAGGAAACAAATCAAATTAAGAAGAAAATCTAGGTCAACACAAAAATAAAAAATGGGAGACTAAACCAAAATACCTCAGCAATATGGAAAGGCACTTGGTAATGACTGTATTCAGAATTCAAATCATAGGATTACAAGCAAACCTAACAACACACATGTGGCTACTCACACGCTTACTTACATGGGCTGTTTACATGTAGTAGGTACAGAGTCCTGTGGAACACAAGGATATGATTACACATCTCACTGAAGGCAAGGCAGCTTCTTATACAGAAAGGTTGAACATTTGTATAGGCTTAATGGCACTGGCATGGAAACATGAAATAAGGGTTGCTCAGTAACACCCTCCACCTGATGTCCAGGCAGGCTCAGACCGAGCTCCACGGCAGCAGCACTGGTGGGGCTGAAGGTGAGCAAGTGGAAAAGGCAGCAGGAAAAAAGCAGACTCCAAAATGAGTTTTACTGGCCTGGGACTAAAATCTTCAGCTAACTACTAAAAAAGACAAGTACACAAAGTGAAGTGTATCGTGGCAAATAAAACCGTATCTGGTGAAAGGACACGTGGTGTCCTGCACAGGCAGCCACAGCAGGAAACAGAACTGAAACCAGAGTGCGAAGGTGAGCTGGGAACTACTCCAGGAAGCTGAAAATCACGGTTCCAATAGCGATTCCTGCCTGGCAGCAGGTGAGGGAGCCCAGCACTGCCACGGAGAGCAGCTGCAGAGAGAGGCAGCAGAGCCAGCCAGGACTGAGCTGCCATGCAACTCTTCCTACCACGGCCAGGAAAGGATTAGCCTGTACTCTTGCTGTAATGCTTGCACCTATTACATCTAAAATTTAGCACTACATATGCAATTATTCTATCACAGATAGTTTGCAATCTACCTTACCACACAGAGGCATTTAAGATGGTGATAATCCTTCTTAATATCTTAATTAACATTTAAATAGTTGACTAGCTTGTAATGTAGTTTACCTAGTTCACTAACCTGGTTCTAAAATACATTTTTAGCACTTTGAAAATAATAAAGTAACAGCTACACTTTTATATTTAAATTCCATATTACCATTTATATAAATAAAGTTATTTCTGTGTTTAGGCTGTATATTTGAGAAAGCAAGGGGTACTGTCCCAAGTGATGTCATTTTACTGTACTCCATACATACACAGTTCCTACTTAAATTAATTCACTACCTCACAAAGAAAAAATATGAAAATACAATCCTCAATTACAGACAATGTTTTACAGCTGACAACTCCTGAGTAATTACAAGTTCAGTTTATTTACAAACTAAAGTTCAAATAACTTCATTATATTATTCTGCTCAGTGCATTTCAGCTGCCTTGCCATTTTTTCTGGGGTTTGTTGTTGTTGTTCAATATATTTTCAGGCCTATTTAAAATAAAAATAAATTGGCTTCAGATTCAATCTATTAGAATAGGACTTTGAGATGCACAAAGAATACATTCCTTCAAAGTATGTTTGACTAAAAATAATAGTAAAAATCTAAAATGCAGACATAGCACCCACATGCTCCCAGATTTGCCTGTTGATCAGTTTTAATGCATAAGCTGCCAGCAACTAAAAAAAGAAGGGTTTATATATACACATCTTAATCACTGTTGTAATCTTACATAAGATTACAACAGCCATTAAAATGTTCTTTTGCAAATAGTGTTATGGTAACTAGCTAGAATGCCAGTTTGTGTCGTACAAGCAGCCACAACAGGTGTATAAAATCACCCAAGAAGTTGTGACAAGTGTGGATCTGACAATTAACAACAATTGCAGAAATTTAATGATTGGGCTTGAGACTGAGAACGCAGTGAGGCTGCTTACCACGCCTCAACCAACCTGCAGTGCAATGATGTTTCTGGGGAAAAAAAATCATTCACCCTCGTCCTTCAAGTGCTTGTTCACTTTTCCTGAGGAAACAGAAAGGACATCAGAACCAGATCTACCAGGGACTACAGGTGGGCTATAGGAACTATTGGTGATTTCTGCTGCAGTTGGATGGTAACAGAGCTCCTCAGTATTTCCCCACAGAAAATCTTCATCTTCCGGGTTAAGAATTGTGAGAACTCAGAAAAGGGGTTGAATCCCTTAGGGATTATATAAATCTTCCTTATGTGCCTAGACACAGATGCTAAGGCACTGTACATGAGTAAGACCTGAAGTATGCCAAAACACATAACCATTTCTTAGAGGTAGACTGACCCTTTTTCTGTCTAAAAACACTGCTAGCCCTCACTGTACAGACTGACCGTCCTTCACTACTTAGACTAGTCCTAAAACAATTAATCCTTCAGAACAAAAAGATAAAACACCAGAACTAGATGGACACGACAAGATTTACTGCAGTATTCCCATTTCCTTCTTGAAAAAAATCCAAAAATACCAAAATGCCTCCCCAGCAGACATAGCTGGGATGGAAAAGGTTACATCAGGTACAACGGACAAAGTCAAGAAGACTTTTATTTTCAGTGATTTTAAGTTTATGGACAGTTCTATTTCCCCCCCTCCTTTAGAAGAGAAGAGTTGTTCCTTCCCTCAGCAAGGGTGGCAGGAAACAGCATAGAAAGGAAACCTACTCAAATAAATAGCTGTCACTGTCCCCTGTCCCCATGGGAGGGAGAACCTTGAAATAGCTGTGACAATCCCTTGTCCCCATGGGAGGAAGAACCCTGCAAGATTTGCTATCCAATATAAAGTCTCTGGATCTGTTGGTAAGGGTCCCAAATGACTGTGCACTGTTGTTATGTTCAACTTCACATCAGCAGCTATTACTGGAATTTTCAAAGTAAAAACTACATTACACATCACAGCATTATAAGGAAACAAAATACAAGGTGCTTTAGTCAAATGTTATATACAGATTTTACAAAAGCAAAAAAAACTTTGCTTAAAAATTTAAATTTTACTATTATTTTAAGTAAGTGGATAAATTAAAAACACCTACTGGTAAAAAAATACATAAGTGAAGAAGAAATTCTCACCCAAGATTCAACATCATGCTACTCATGGTACACATTAAGTTTTATGGTGTAAACACTGAGAAAAAAATCACTTGCTTTGACAACTGCAGACCAAAATAATTTTCTAAGGGACATAACTATTCCTCAGATTGAAGTTAATTTTATCCTATTTAATTATACCCTGTTACCAATTTAAATCCTGCCCTAGATCATTGAGTATACCACACTGCCTTGCATGTATGTGATGAACATTTGTAATTTATTAGACTTTTTCATTATTTTTGAGGTGTTGTTAATTACTCTACATACACATTTTTCCATCTACTGTTACAATGTCTGTGTGTGGCACTGCTTGTGTACCATCACCCACTACTCTCTGCTTTAAACTGCATTTATGGAAAATTTGACTCTCTTTACTACATTTCTGAGACCTGCAAGAGAATTTTTCTGTCAGTTCCGATCTGCTACAGGAATAAAATCTGAAGTGGTCAACGCTGAATTTATGTTAAAATGATCTGATGATACCAAAATCTTAGGACACAAAAGGCATGTGGCTATACTGTGATAGGGAACAGCAGCTCTGAAGGGACTGCAATACCTTCAAACATTTGGGACAGAACAGATTCCACTACCAGCAAGGTCACTGCACTTGGTCAGCACTCCATACACACAGTGTCATTTTGCATACACTGAATCTGCTCAAAATAGGCAAAGAGAGAGAACAATCGGTGTCTGCATCTCTATTCCTATGGAGCTGTGTGGAAAATCTCTATTCTTGAAGTAGCAAAATAAAAACCAAGCATATCCCTGAGAAATGCCAAATACCCACCAACATAACTAGACAGGATTGATAATAGCTTGGCATCTTGAAGCTTAAAGTTAGTTAGCAAGACTGCTAAATGTCAGCTCTTTAGTATTTATGTTTCACTATTTCAAGGGAAAAAAAAAGAAAAATCAACAGCACACATACCAAGGGGTTTAGACTTAGAATCTCCATATTGTCCTTCACAAATGTGATAAGATCAAGTAATACCTATTTTCTTTAAAAAATAACACAAGTAAAATTCAAGTATAATGAAAGCACATCAAGAAACAAACTGTACAATTTCTGAACTGCACTGTTTATTTTGCTGCTTGAAACCTAAGTGACAGTATGCCACTATAATTATGGGGTTTCTTCTAAACCTTTACTACACTGCAGGTACAGAAATATATGGACACATTTTTGGAGAATTGACATTTTGCAAAATGCAGCAAACATTTCAATTTATACATGAGAAAAGGAAGTGTTCAAAAGGGTATGCATTTCAAGTTATTGCAGGTTATTTCTGTGAGAGAATTTCTGCAGGTAAAACATGTTTAAATTTAACCAACAGTAACGTGTCAGTGTACTGAAAATCATGACAAAAATCTTCTCTCTGGTCATTAATTGCCCCTTGACAAATTACTAGGATGTTGTATGTTTAGGGCAAGATGTCAATACAGCATAAATCCCGTGGCATTTTGGTTTTCTTCTGGAGATTAAAGCTGTTTTTTTCTTGGGATAAATGCAGCAGCAAAACACAAACCAGCTGATCAAAAAAGCACTTCTGCCATAACTCCAATAATTTCAGGGCACACCAACCGACAGTAGTTTTGCCATTCCCAGTTCTTTTAAGGTTTACATCACTGCACTGTTGCCTTAAGTACGTTTGTAGAAGCTTGGTTTCTGTTAGGCCAGCTTGCTGACTACAGCCTGGTTGAGAGAATTTAGTTGGTTGGTCCATTTATCTAACGCAGTATAACGTGCACCACCTCTCTTCTGATGGTCCAGTTCTAGGAGCTGGTTGACTTGATCAATTCGGCCATGTATAGTGCTAGGAGTAAATAAATAAAAACTATAAATTGCTAATGGACATGGAAATAGGAGCTAACAATAAATCAGAGGTAAAGTAAGAGGTCTTACACAAGAGAGGCACAAGCTCTATTTCAGAATTCAGCATTTTTATAATTATTGTCCTGGGCAGTACTGCCTATTAAGTTGTCATCATGACTGGAAATCAAATTAACTAATTCACTGGGCAATGCATGGACCCCATGCATTGGGGGGCTATGACCCCACACAAAGTCTGAAGCAATATGACATAAACAGTTCTTGACAAAGAGTCATGAAAAATGGAGATTTATGTGAAGAGAAGTCAAACAATACAAGCCCATGTATGGATTATAATTTTGTAGCAGTTATAACAAGTACCTCTCCAGAAAAAAAGTAGCAGTTATAACAAGTTACTCTCCAGAAAAGTAGGTTTTACAAATTGTAGTTAAATTTTTCTAGTTAAGAAAGTTTACTAATCTGTCAACTTGAAAATGCACTCAAAAATATAAATAGGTGTAAGCAGCAATTACTAAGAATAATGACTTTCATAATTTCATAATAATTCAGGGAATTTGTTATGTAATTAAGAATTAAAGTAAGAAGATGCTAGCCAATCTCCCTGCATAATTTTCTTGGGTCCCGTCCTTCAAACTTACTTTACTGCTCAGAAACCAAGAAAATCCAAATTCAGCACCATTACCTTTCATTTCTAGGATCAACCAGTATTATTGCAATGCCCCAAAATACTGTTTTGTTGCTTCTCCTATAGTTCAATAACTTTAAAGTAATTAAAGATCAATAATCAAGAATCAGATACATACTTATCCAATATGCACTGCACAAGCAAGCTTTCCACATCAGCTACATCTATGTTTAACTCCTGAAACAAAAAGAAAACTCATTATGCTGCTACTATGTTCTGCAACATTAAAACACTCCAATATTTATTTTCATAAACAGAATTTGGTTTAACCTCTGTTTCTTACTGTTCATAAGTATAAATTCAGTAATGATCTATTAAGCAAAAGACCTCCACCCAAAGGACACATGGCCAAGAATCAAGAGACCAGTAACCTCAGAAAAAGCTGAAGAGGCGAAAGCAAAATTTTAGAAGCTCCAGAAATTAGTCCCCTTACTGACTTCCTGAAAAAACAAAGGGATAAAAAATATCCCAAACCAAATAACAACAAAATAAACCACAACCACAAAACCCCAGGAATTAAATTAAGACAATAATTATCAGAAAGGAATGGATATGCACTCAAAACCATTTAGAGACATAATTGCATCTTCTGGCTCAAGCAAGTTCTACAAGTGTTAAGTCTAGCTTAAAAAAAAAACCCATACCGAATTCTTATGAAAATTTAAGCATAAAAACAGGCATCCCTAATATTTCATGATGTATTTTGTAATGCTGTGGATTTTTGCTGGCAAAATTACAGACTCAAAGGAGATAGAAATAGTCATATATTACCACTGGGGTTTTATTTCATTCTTTGCAGATTAGGCAGTGAAATCAGGGATTCTATGGTAATACTTGGTTTGTTCTACTGCCACTGTTACAGTTCTGTAACTTGTACAACACAAAAATGTGAAGATGGCTTATGAACAAAAGGGGTTAAAAATTTAATTTTTATGTCCATAAAATTTACATTCATAACTACATTTTTTATTATACAAATTTCTTATTATTTTCCCAAGAAATGTGATTTTTCTACACCAAGTAGAATATGGTAGTTGAGTATTTTAGAAGTGTATCATAGTACATAAGCAGTTGGATGACACTTGAAATTAACATTTTTGCACTGCAGAGCTGCCAGCAGTGCATCATTAGTACTTTATGGTTTAGAGTGTATTTTAGATGTTCTATTTCTGGAAGCACTGTATTTATTTAAAAGCTTTTATTCACAGTTAATAATTTACTTAAGCAAATGCAAGGCTACTGACACATACCTTAGAAATAAAAGGAATATGTATTCTTGTGTAAGGCTTAATTAATTTTATAAGCACTTGTGTTCTGATGTTTCGCAAAAGCTCTGTAAGATAAGAAAACAAACACTGTAAAAACAACAGTATTGAAATAAAGCTGCAATACCATTCCATATAGAAAGATACTACCTTCAAAAATCATGGTGTTTAGTGTCATTCAATGGGTAAGGAAGCCCAGCAAAATAACAAGGACCCTCCTTTTCCAGGGATCCAAGCAATATGTACCTCTAAAGGTGGACAGACAGAGCTTAAAACTGTTCAAACATGGAGCAACATGTTCTCTGGTAAAAATTTTATTTATTCAAGTTAACTGGATAAATCATAGAAATCATTGCCTGGTATGTCTGCCTCACTAGTTTATGGCTAGAATGCTTGCCGTGTACAAAAGTGAAAAGGGGTATTTTTAAAGCTATGCAATTTAAAATGTCTGTGCATTTAACTTCATGGGGGATATTCACACTTAAAGTTAAAAGTCAGGGCCTAATGGTGTAATTACAATGTGTTGTATAAAATGGTCTGTGTGGAGAGGCTCATTTTGCTTAGATAAAATAGTGCAGTCATTGTTTCATATATTTTTACATTATTAAAGACGGGATAAAATGAAAGCATAAATTATAATTATAAATTAACAGATAAAAAAAGCCTAGGTCCATTTTTACCTGTTTAAACGAGGACTGTTTATATAATAATATACCACTGGACACCAGGTTATGTGTCTCAATAAACTATGGAGATTAAAACAATGAGACAAGGTATGTAAACATAACCCTGAGCATGTTGTGAAATCAGTAGCATATAAGGAGTGACACTCAATTCCCTTCAGTGCCTTGATTCAGCTCCCTCCTCTTGCTCTTCAGGTCTGTCACTTCTTCCTCCATGAGCTCTAATCCAGCTCCAATCTTACCGAGCCTCCCTCCAAGCCTTTGCAGCTCACCAGCAGTCCACATGGAACAGCAGCAGTGGGTTATATCTAGTTTGCCCTGCTGTTTGCCCTGTTCTCTTTTACAAACAAGTATAAGAAAACCAGGTCTCTGGATTTAACTCTTTTCTTTCATGTAACTACCCAGCTAAATGATCTTGCACTGCCACAGTCAGACACACTCTTAAAAACAATAGTGAGCTGAAGAACTGAGCACTGTATTCAAGTGAAGAGACTCTTCAATTCTCAGATGCAAGAAAAATGGATGAGGTAACTTTATTTTGTCACATTAATGGAGCAGAAAGGCATGTGTTAATGTGCTAGCATTCTATTAAATAGAGGTATTATAACTCCAACTATTGCTTACAAGATAGAAATGAAAAGTATGGATCTTTTCACCTATTATAATACTATGTATTTATTAGTGCAACCTTTGGTACATTGTCTATGTATTTGGTCTGTAATCTCAAGCAGTAAATGAACTTTATAAACTAGCAAACATCAAACTGAATGAGACTGATACAAACCATCTTTACAGGTGAGGGTTGCTCTCACTTGACTATTCCAAAAACAACACACAAAATATTCAAGTGTCTAAACACCACCATAGATATCTTACCATATCCACTCTTCTAGAACTTCTGCCATCAGTTTTGCATACCTTTGCAGTCATGCCACACGCCTGGATGCAAGTTAGCCCTGACCAACTTCCAAATAATCCACAAATAATCCACAACTAATTACAAGAAACTCTTAAAGAAAAATAAACCAAGATGGGGGGGAAGAAAAAAAAAAAAAGGAGCTTTGGAAGTAGTGAAAACAAAAATGATTATAATAGCCTTTAAAATACCTTCAATGTGCTCCCTTATGAAGGGATCGTCCATGATGTTGCTGTGATTTGTTTTTAGAATCTTCTCAAATTCAGTGATGTCATTATTCTGATAGGCACTTCAGAAAAAACCAAGGGATTGAATTTTAATTTTAAAAGTAAAACAGACTCATAAGATTATGTTCCACAATTTCTAAAAAAATATGTATTAAGCACTGGAGGAAAATATTTATATTCAGAACCTTTATAAGCAGAAACTCGATTTGAAGATTAAATGCAACAGAAATTACCTTTCTCCTGTTTCAATTTTAGCAGTATTTACTGAAGTTTAGTATGAACATTTAGTTGTTCCACAATTGCACTCTAGTTTCAAAACTATTATACTTTAAGAAGCTATTCTTAAATACCCTGTTTTGAAAAGTATCATTACATGAATTTTGGCTTCATGAAGTCATACTTTATGGAACAAATAAGAGCTAAAAAGAGTCTACAAGGCTGTTGCTGTCTCTACAGTATTCAGCTTAAGCTGAATGCTGAAAATACTGAAAGAAATAAGGACTTCCAGGATTATTAATCAGTCATTTTTGTATAATGTTACTTTTTAGATTTTTATTTATTGGTTATTTGTGTATATAACCTTTCATGGGTCAATCCTGTCATCTGAGAAAGCATTGCAAGAAGAAGGTGCCACCAGAGGCATCATTTACAGGTCAGGAGCTGCAACCTCTGAAGAAAGGCCTATTTCTTGAAAAACATTCTTTCAAAACAAAACTTTCAACTCCTGTTTAATACCAACATCAAACATTTTAAAAACAACATCTATTTGTCCTTCATATTCTGTACATTTAAAGATTGTTTTGAAACTGGTAAAAAAAGAAATTCATCTGTTATTAAAATGGCCAAGAAAAAGACCTGTTAAGTTTAAGGTAGAACTTGAGCAGCTTATAAATAGCTATGTGAGTGGCATGGACTGTATCACATGAAACCAGTAATTTTTACTTAAAAATAAAAGGAATTTCAGTTCAGTATATTTTATTGTTTATTTCACAAGTCTCTTTTTGTCATATGTAAAGCATGCAAATTCCCACTGTAGAGTATAGGAAGGATTAAAAGCATAATTGTAATCTTTGGAATTAATTTTATCTTCACATATTTCTTATCAATACTGCTTTAACTGCATTATTAATTTTAAAGAAGGAGTTATATTCAAATGTCAAGATAAAAGATATAAATTAGAAATATGAGTAAAATCATCTTGGGTAAGGCCATCTGGGGTTCCTTCTGCCTCAAATTAACATGAAACTATGACAGTGAATTAGAAAAAAAACACATCTAAAGTGGAATGAGTTATTGGAAATAGTCCCTTAATAAACTGCCAAATAATTTATTCAATCAGCATGTCAATAATGGATGAATATCCTCACTTTCAGGAACAATTTGTATGTATACAATGGTAAAGCACAACAGCAGTATCACAGCAGTTCCAACACAGCATAAACTGTTTCAAAAAGTGAGTAGACATTACTTCTTTTGTAGGGAAAAGATGGGAAAGGAGCAGAGGTAGGCCAGAGAGGATACAGTTAGGTGCATGTCAAAACCCAGTGTACAAAACCTGCCTCAGTTCATTGACCTAATGACCTTCACACACTAGAAATTCTCACAGGTGCCTGTGAGGTAGAGGTCATGAGATGCCTAAGAGGTAATGAGGCTTTCTTTTGATTTTCACTTGTTTGAAGGATCAGAAGATCATTCAGAGTTGTTTCGTATTCCTAACTTAGGAAATCATAACATATCCATGCAGCAAATTATTCTACTGGCTTTGGTAGGATATGTCACTGAACTCAATTTCTCTTCTTCTCTATCAGCCAGAGCCTAAAAAGACCAGTAGCAGTACAACATGAGACAACTTTATTTAAGGGGAGAAATTAGGTTTCTGTCACACCATAAAGTGACAAAAGCACACAGCTTTGATACTCCTACATAGTGTGGCATCTATACTATGGTCTCTCATAGCAAGTTTCTAAAGAAAAACAATCCTCAAATATTTGCCCAATATTTATTCATAACTGTGTTAACTGTGCAGAGAAAAGGCATTTCTAAAACTGCTCCCTTTCAGGTTTGGACAACAAATCTTTTTTCTTTTTATAGTTTTGTTCTCTTCTCCAGAAAAATGAAAATCTTACCTTACTAAATTCGTCATTGCTAGAATCTCTGGATCATTTTTGTATGGTTTAGCCTATGCAGAACAGAAAGCATAATATGCAAGTTCAGATTTTTTTTTTCATTTCCATTGTTTGGGTAATTTCTCTATATATTCAGAAAAGGGTGAGGGGATGGCGGGTGGGTGTGTGTGTGAAGGAAAAAGAAAAAAATACCTCCTGAGAATCAAATGGATTTATTCCAGACTTCATGAGCATGTTTGCTAAGACCAAATATTTTAAGCAAGTGGTTCTTCTGGGGCTCCCTGATTCATCGTAATTCTTGAATGCTTCAAAAAAATCAGTATGTGCCTTTTCAAACTCTCCTTCTCTTAAGTGCATTTTGCCTCCACATTCTGAAAAGAAAACAAAGATGAAAAGGAACACTGTGTGCTTGTTGCTGACTACAATAATTGTACTCAAGTTCCATGCTATTTCTAAATAGATTACTGAAACATTTTCAGAAGTGATTTGGTTCTCTGAAATTGCTAGGAAAAAAAAGCATTAGGGCCTTAACATACAGCACTGCCATTTGAATAAACCCATTCCAAAGAAGAAAAAACAAAACCCAACCTACACCATAGAACTTAAAGAACACTAATCTTCATAGCCAATAATTATGTCACCATTCTGTTAAAGTACTGCAAAAACTGAAATAAATTCTATTTCCATTTCAATGGCAACAGACTTTGTATATATATGGAATTTTCCCTACCTGTTGAGCAAAACCACACAGAAAAAAGTGAGAAATACTTTCTATATCCTTTTATTTCTGAAGTACCCAGTGCTGCCTGATTGTCTGTGCAGTATCTACACCAGGGAAAGGAGGAAGGCATAACAGTGTTCTGAAGAAAGCTGGTTTTTTTTCAAAACACATGGCTTGTTTCTGCTACAATTCATTATTGCAGATAATAAATAATATTTTCAAACACATCTTAAAGCGCTTTGGTTCCTGCTGATTTTTAGCGAGCTGAGACACAAATTTATAAAAGGGAATTGCAGGAACAGCAGTCCCTTCTGCCAGCAGTCCTGTCAAGCCTTTGTTTTTATGCCCTGCAGATGCCTTTGCATTCATCTTTTGCTGCCTGCCATGGTGCCAAACAGCAAGTCTTCCTCTTTTCTTTCTACTGCTTCTCTCCTAACAGTTATTTAGCCAACTGTCCTGCCCTTCTGTCCAGTGCCTCTGGTACCTGGGCACCAAAACTGCAGAGCTGAAGTCCTGCAAGAAGAAAATGATGAGACTGAATCTACAGAAGCCTCTGTTCTTTATAGTGGAACTGGAAAAAAAAAACCACTGGTTATCATATTTTCATGGAACAAATCTCTGCAACAGAAGACAAATGAAAAATTCAAGATGAACTTGCCTCTGATAACTCCCATGATCAGTGGATGAGGAATGGCTGACTTGATGTGCAATGACTGTTCATATAGTGCTTTAAGTTTTTTGTTATTTTTCTGTGCTGTATACATTTGAATTTCCAAAGCATAGATTTCCAATAGTTGAGTACCTTTTTTTAGATCATCTTCCCCATCATCAGTCTAGGACAGATTAAGTAATAAATACTGTGAAATTTTAAGAGAACAGCAATTTCAGTTTTATACTAGTAAAACACTGATAACCAAATACTCTAATTTCCTGTCAAAAACAAGAATATTCCTGAAACTCTGAAATACTGATCTAACTACTAATAGAAAACATAGTACTCAAATTACTTACCACAGGCTACATTTTGAAGCCCTGTATTTAAAACATCAGTATCTTCCATTAAATATTTTTCTCAAAATTTTAACCTTAATTCTTTTCCATTTTCCTTAAGCCACACTCTTAGTACATAAATATGACTGACACAAATGCATAGGTAACACATATGACTCTTCTGCTGCCTCTAACAGAACCATTTCCCAGATATTTGTAACCTATTTCCATACTGAAGAAGGAAAAGCATCATAAATAAGCACAGCAGACTGCATGGCTAATTTATTTCTTCCCCTTCCTGATGGGAAAGTAACAACTGCACTTTCAGTTTTGAGTAAAGCTCACACTGAATCTTTTTTATACTTTAAAATGAATGTCCATGCATTATAGATTATTGATATGTGCTTTTCATCCTTGCTCCTGAAGAGAAACCCAATCAGCAGTTGTGAATAATTTTTAAAAAATCATCTTTAAGGAAGGAATAAAGCACTTAGTGTTTTTTGTTTATGTTATCAAGCAGCTAACAAAATCAGGCACAGTATTTCTTCTCTTCGTATTAAAGCTCAGCAAAATGCCTCAAAGGCCAACAACAGATATATTTAAAAAAAAAAAAGCATCAATGTTGTTTACTAAGCCACAGTGATTTAGAATATAAAGGTACCTGGCAGGACTGATGCAGCTGACGCAAAATCTTTTGTAACTTTCCATATTCTTCTCGTTCTAAATATAATTTGCCAAGCTGAAATGAAAAGAAAGTTAAAGTACTGAGATCTATTACAATTTCACAATTATAATTTATAAGAACTAGCTGAAGGTGTCAAAGAAAAGCAAAAAATAGGAAGTTATATATTTTACCTTTGTGTTTGTCTTAAACCACAATCTATCATTCTTAGCATCTTTCAGAGCTTCAAGTGTTGTTTCATAGAATTCCTGAAGCAAATCCATCTGACATAAAAAATCAGAATTCTATAATTGTAAACAGCAAATTTGTACCTGTTAATGAAGTCAATCTGAACAAACTAAAAGTGCATGCTTGAACTTCAAAAATAAGAAAGGTATCTGCATCTTACTTAATGTTTGCATTTAGACTGCAAACAGCTTCTAAAATAACCAAACTAACTACATTACCTTTTATTATATGAAACAGATATAATTAAAAAGTATTCACATTTTAAGATTTGTACCCATCTGAAAAATGAAAGTCAACTCATCAAACCCATCTTATACAACCAAGGAACAGAATCCTGATGTTTTGTAACAAACACAGGCAATATTGCTTCCACTTAAAAACATAAAAATAATTTACATATCAAAAAGAAAATATGCTTTACAAAAAAGAAGAATGTGGGGAAAGGAAAAGATGCTTTCTTCCTTCTGGAGTAGCAGTGCTGAGTGGAAGAAAGCTCTTGAGTGTATCAAACTATTTCTTTGCATAAAACAAAAAAAAAAAACCATCTGAAATGGAAATTAAAGTGCCAAGTGTTACCTTTTACAAGAGCTCTACAAAGAATGCATCAGTGTTGTTCATGGCCACTGTTCCTTTGGGGGTAACAAATCTGTGACTATATATCAAGTTAAGATTTCCAGACTGTCCCTCCAGGTCTGGCTGAACTACACACCAGAGACATTGACCTCTGCCAAGAAGGTCTAAGAGAATCCTTTAGACCTCAAGAGTAACCCAGCATTCAGCTTGTGCTAATAACCAAGGACTTGGCACTAACAACCAATGATCCTCCAGATGAAGGTGCTGCTTTCTGAGAGGAGTTTCCTACTCTTTGTAAAGCTTCAACAACACAAAACCAAAGGAGCTGGGCTGTGTATCTAAGGACATGTACCTCACTAGCACAGTGCATTGGACAGGCAGTATTTCACACCAACACTTCACTGCAAAGATTCCCCCCTCCCCCCAAAATAAAAAAAAACACATTATTTGACTAAAAATTGTATCTGAGTGGGCACTTACATTGTGTAGCTATGATAAAAAAAAGTTCTTATTTATTAACATAGAAATTCCAGGAAAATGTTTCCAAAAAAGGACAAGCTTATGAAGATTTATCTGTGTTAACAGAATCCACTACATGTGGGAAATATATTTTTACATATAACAGCAAATGAATACTCAAAATTCCTCTATTAAGATCAAAATGCCCAAACCAAACATAAAAAATTTCCACATATAAAAATACAAACTGGAAACTATGAAGATAAAAGAATTGCTGATCCAACCTGCTTGGAAGTAGAGATATAATCAAGAATAGAATTGATGGATTTTTCAGAGTAATTCCTTGTAACTGCACTCCGTATGTAGGTCAATAGCTGTTTATACCTATTCATCATTTCAGGAAAGTTAGTCTAAAAGAAAAACAAAATCACATTATAATTTTTGTTTTAATTGTTGAAACTGAGCTATCTTGCAAATTTACATACAGGATAAAGAAAGCATAAAGAAAGACAATGCAGTAGTAGTTGCTATTAAAACTTTCATATCACCACTTTATTCATAACCTGCAGAATCAGAAATAAATTCAGGACTGCATAGAATACAAGTTTAAAATATTAATCTCAATGAAGAAAACAGAGCTGGCCACACAACTCTTTGGAATGGTTGCATACATAGCATATAGATTTTTCACTGTTTTGTCCTGGTGCAGTACACAGAGAAACATGACCACTTCCAGTGGTGTGACACCTCAGCACAGCAAGGACTGAGCCTCACACTTGCATGGAGTACCAGCTGACTACAGCAGTTATTTTGCATCCATTTTGCCTTTGACTTGCAAACAACAGATCATCTCCCTGCCATATCTGTGAGTAGCCATTAAAGGCTGCAAAAGGCAAGTTCTGGTAGACTTAGTTGTCATAGCTATAAATTACAATACTAACTTAAGATCTCTGGATCAAATACATATCTATGCTATTTACTCCCAAGTGATAGCTGTAATTCCTACCAATTTAAAGTTTATTTTAATCATCTGTTTCAGAGCTTTGAATCCCCATTCTCCTTTTTCGCCTTCGAGCTCCAAAACCTGAAAAAGATTTTTTAAAACAATATTTATAAAAACTTTATTCAAACTTGAATTGTTTAAAATACACATATCCCATACATGCCCTTTCCCCCCACTTTGCTCCTTACAAAGTAATGTTTGACTCTGCCCTGTTCTTCAGTTTTATTCTTTCCTGGTACTATTGAAAAAGTGAGAGTGTATCTCCTCAGTTTTCACAACTGAGCTGACACAGGGAGGGTGAACACGATCGTTGTTGTTGTTGCTGTCTAACAGCCAAGGCCTTAATGCCAAACACTACATTTTAACACCACTGCATAAACACATAAGCAAAAATAGTTATAGCACCTCCGGCAAAACTAAATTTTGACCAAATCAAGTTAAAAAGCTTTTCTGAATTACTATGGTTCCTTCACAAAAGGAGAAACACTTCTAGTTTTAATGCAACATAGTTCAAGAAATGTTCTGTAAGTAAAAACTTTAGAAAGTTTTTTCTTTAAAGTCATGTATATAATTTTTTATACACTAGAAATGAGCAAAGAGATGCAAAAATCTATTTTTTTCTTTAAAAAGTTGCATCTAACATACTGCTTTCTCACAGCAGTGTGCAAACATTAAAAATTTAAAACTGAGATGAAGAAAAGAAACTGTGTTATTTAGTATTTATACATTTAAAGCTTTGGAATCAGATAGCAAAGCAAATATAATGTTACATAAGACACTGGGGAAAACACCATTTCATTAAAAAACCCAAATGGATCTGCTTTCTATTGTTAATGCATGAAAACACATTTAGAACTGTTTAATTAACTTAGCTAATCCTGAAGATTAAAAAGTCAGATCAGTGATAACACTATACCATGTCCTATTTATTATCCTTAAGAATGGTCCTGAAAAGGCAATCAGCCAGGAGTTTAAGATACTCAAAAATAAACTTAGCACATTAGTAATTTAAAAGATAAATCTTACTCTTAAAATCTCAGAAAATAACTCAAATGGTACCAAATATTTTAAAATGTGAATTAATATAAAAAGAAGATATAGAATATAAAGACAGACAACCTTCTGAAAACTACTTAATGCTGCTTTGGGGTCATCTTCCTTCAAAGCTTTGGAATTGTAGTATTGATTTTCCAGATCCACATTTGGTTCAGAATTGCTGTCCTCAGAATATTCCTACATTTTAAGAAAAAAACCATAAAAAATCAGAGGAAAAAGAAAGTTCAGAATATGTAATAATCTGCTGAAAAATAGTAAACAGTAAATTACTCCAACTGGCATGGAATGCTTGTGTATTAACAGGTAATAGTAAAACCAAACAGTGTTTGGTTTTAGAACATATAACAGGTATGGACCTATATAATCATCTTCTCTCTCTCCCACTATTAGGCCAGACTCACTCCACCAACATTTGCCTGTCAGCAGATTTCCTTCTGGATTAATGAACTCACAGCTCCACCAACTTCACCTTTATGACAAGTACAGATTGTATTACTGAAATTCTGCCAGTGCTGGAGTTTAAGCACAGAGGCCCAAGAGCAAATGTCATTTCTGGGAGGGGAGAGAACACGCTGCCCACTGCTCCTCCTGAAGGCACTCTATGATTCAGCCTTTGCTAGTCACAGAAAAGGCTGTGGCTGAGCTGTCACACAAGTAATGATTCAGCTTTGGAGGGTACCAAATGCTTCCCTGAATCCCTCTACAATCTGCCTTCCTATGCCATAACGATTCATCCTTGTCTAAGGAAATTAAAAGAAAGGATAATGATGATAACACCAGCTGCTTCTGCCCTGAGAAGCAGGAGATGATTGAGAAAATGCTAAAAATGCTATCAAAGATCTTGAGGTACAGCATAGGCACAATAATTTAATCAAATAATTATCCATTATGTACACTAGTGCCAAGAAAGTGAAGTATTTACTTCTAACAATTGCTACTTAATTTTTTAAGAAGTACTTTGAGACTTCTTTGGATGAAAAATCCCTGATATTTTATCTTCTTCTGCTAAAGGACAATGCTGCATGTCCAAATTACAAAACACTTAAAAGCTCAAAGAATAATTTAATTGGATGTTTACAGAATTCAAAACCACTTCACACCTTTGCATTTTCAAGCTAACTTCTCTGCACAGGATTTTGGCTATCAGGAGATGAACTGTTTTAACAGAATCTGTTTAAATCTCAAAGTTACTGCTGTCAGAGTAACATTCCCTTGCACCAACATAAGCAATGCACAGTCAGGTCCCCTCCTTTAGGGTGGATTTTACTATTGCTGTACTTTGTCAGGCATTTTTATATTCATTTCATATATGTTCATTTTTATATTCCTACTATTAATAGACTCCTCCAAAACCACAGGAAGGAATGAAAAAAATATGAGACAAAAGAAAAGTTTTAAATTAGCTCTCTCCTCCCTGCACTGCAAGCAATCTCTCAAAGTTTTAAGTTTGCTGAAGTTCTAAAGCAAAAATTAATACTTGGAGTCTACAGTCAAACCAAGTTTCAATAAACATGGTACTTGAAACATATATCCTTCTACCTTTTAGTGTTTCTATTTGTAACATGTAGGGAAGTTGCCCGGGTATGTATTTACTTTCACCCAAAGTACTATCATTAGTGAGAATGAATGGACTGAAAAGTCTTGTGAATTCCACAAACCTGTTTTCTGAATTCCCACAGAACTACAAAAATGTGATCCCGAAAACAGCAAACAGGAAGCAAGTGTCTTATTTAATTGGGCAGGCTCTCATTTTGGTTGGCTTGTTTTTGTAAACTCCTTATCCTACTGATCCAACTCCAACGGAGCAGCTATGAGTACACACACCTGATGTCAACAGCTGTATCAGGCACCTTATATATACAGGCTGCCAAAAATTAAACAACAAAGCATTTAAGATATGCATAATCAGCTGATGTCTTGTTTATCCTTAACTTGGACAATAGGGAATATTTTTGGCAGAAGTGTCTATTTGCAAAGATAAAAGGAAAGCAAACTAAATTAATTCCTTTTAGGAGACAACGTGCTCCGTTAGCCTCAAGCCAGAAACGTCTGAACTTTCATCTTAGCTCTGGCAATGATTCTGGATGTGGATTCATGCAGGAAGCCCTTTTTCAGATAATTTCTCTCAATGCTACTTAAATATCCCATAAAGATCATTTCATAATATTAATACATAATAAAGAAGTGTTAAGTCTATTGATTTTTTTTTCTTGCAGTGGAATTGCATTGAAATGCATCAAAGGTACTGGTTTATGTTTTCACAGCTATATTTTTTCTTCACTTCATGCCTATGTGCCTCATATCAGACTTAGGATGATGATATGGACTCAAAGCTGTAATGGAGATAAGGCTTTCCTACTTCCAGAAAATGTAAAGTGGTTTATTTTAAAAAAGACATATTTAGACTTAATGGCTGGGAAAACTTTGAAACCTCAAACTAAGTATGAGCTGATGCCACTAATCTTTAGACAATGTTAAAAAAAACCATATAGATACTGAATCTTATTTCAAGCACTGATGCTAATTATGCCAGTGCTGATACTCAGAAGGACAAGCATTCTGTCTTCTTTTGATGCGGAGATGGCTTAGTGCAGTAGGATACAAATGCAAGAACATTAAGCTTCTGTCAAAAGAAAAAAAGGAGGAAAGTAAAAAGCTGTGTCCTCACAGTTCCAATTAAGAAAAAGATGAATTTCCTTCTCAGTTCTGAAAACAGAAAACTTCTTTTAACAATAAATTCAGATAGCAAGAGCCTACCTAGCCTTTCCTCACCCTCATTTTCAACACCCCTGGTTCCTGCCTGAACAACTTCCCCAGCTCAAACCTTCCAGTTAGGAAGTTTGCTGCAAATTAGGTAGAAATATATGGTTTACAAATAGGATTTCTATGTAACTCTAAAAATTTCCACTACAGCATCCAGACCTAACAATTTGCATAGTGATGAACATCCTTAATTAGAACTTTGAGATATAAAAGTAGCTGGATGATATAATTTATCTCTAGCTGATGTAAAAAAAGTAAAAGGCCTAGGAATTTTTAAAACTAAGGTCCTGTTGGTATTTTTCAAATGGACATCAACATTATAAGTATAAAAAGAGCAGTCCAAGTACACAGAACTGCTCTTTGAAACCCCTTGAATTTTTCGTTCCTCTGAGGATCATCAAAACAAACAAATAGGGTTTTTATCATCACTCAAGAAATTAGAAAGCCCTGGTAAGAGTTTGAAAAAATGCAGTTAAATAAGTTAGGATATAATTTAAGCATTGCTATGTTGAAAATCTGAATGTTCTAAATGTAATCAGTTATATTCAATCCTAAGCCATCCCATTGCTTTTTGGAGGAAGAAAATTACTACACTAGCTCTGATGGACTTTACTCTGTCTGGAAAATCTTTCTTTCAAATAGTTTTAATAAAAGTTAAATTACTATCAAGAAACCAATTTAATTAAGAAGTCTTTATTATGTCACATATTAAGTTTTTATAGAATTTTATCAAGTAAACAGCTTTAAAACACTGAGCCTCAGCCTCTAAAATGAGCACACATGGAAGTCAATTCACCCGAGTTGCTTTAGTCATCCCTCTTAGGCAGGGATGCATTTGCAGTCGGTCCAGCAGCATCCAGCCCTCCCAGCGCTCCCCATCCCTGCAGCAGCAGTGGCTTGGGCTCTTTGGCTCCTTGCTGCTTTGTGAGAACTGTGGCAGGAGCCTTGGCAATGTGGCCTCCAGAGATTACAGGTCCTGAAGCTCGGCCCCTGTGCTCAAGGCCAGAATAAGGGACAGGGACACGGAGACTGTAATAGTGTATCAGTGACATTTAAATGTAGATGTGTGGCATTTATCTATTCGTGGTACACTGACCTGTAAAGTTCTACGTGAACAAAAACAAAGATACAAGTATTTTGTGAAAACTAATGTTGTTACCAATTTTCTGCTCTCCTCCCTTGCCTGACGCACTTCCCTAACTTCTACATAGAAACTGAAGTGATTACCTAAACTTGTGCTCCTCTGTTTATCATTCACCACCACTACAGGAACTGAACTCCTACTTTGCAAACCTTTTGTAAAAAAAGGAGAAGAGGGAAAGTAGCTAAATACAGGCAAGTTTCCAGAAAAAAGACAATACAAAGAGTTCTATTTCTGTAAAATACTATCTTTCAAGGACATTGTTGAAATACTTATTACTGTGAATTGTCAATTGCTGGTGATTTTACCAAATTTCATCCATTTGACTGACTCAAACAATTTTTTTATGAAGTGCAATTGTTTCTGAGAAGTCTGGTACAAATTTGATTTTACTTCAGCTTGCTTTGTTTCATAACATGGCATTAGCAAGTCTACTAAGCACAACTTTCTTTGCATTTGCTCTTCCTCACCTGCAGGCACCAGGAAAAGCAGCAACTACCAGGTTCTATGCATTTGTCAGTTGGTATCCAGGCACATGAATATAAAGAAAGCAATCAGACTGGAATGCAAAAGAGCAAAGAGGAAAAAAACAGAGGCAAACCCTGAGAGTAAAAACAAGAGTGCGATTTGTGCAAGAAACCAGCAACCGCTCAGCCATGCACTGGGAGTCCTGGTTTCTTTTCCACATTCCAGCTCTCTCTTCTGCTGCTGTTCCCTAGCTCTGCAAGTCATCCAGTGCCTGCCGGCTCACACCAGGGCTCACACCAGGAATAGAAGCCTGTGAAACCAGCGATTTGCAATGGTGTCAGAAGAGTTCCATGAAAGACAGTGCTCTGCCTTTGTTTTATTTTTTTTTCAGTTGGAAGATGCACAGAAATGAGACAGGAGACTGTAGAAAGAAAAACCTGGTATGATGACATGTAAAGACTACAGAAAAGAAAAGTTCCTTTTCTTTCTTCCTCTGTTGTGCAGCTCTCCTGTAGTTATGTGCATCCTTTTCTGAAAGTCCAGTTTTCAGCATAACTTAAATCTAATTTATGTCTGTTTAACACCCAACTGCGTATCAGATCCTAGAGAGCACTGTTCTAAACACAGCCCTAAATAACTGTCAAAAGAAGCCAACAAAAACCAGAACCTACCGACACTTGTCAATGTTTAGAAAGAATTTACTGACTAATTATTCTCAGGCTTTTTGCCTCAATGCTTCCTTCTGAGACATTATGGTAATGAGCAAAATAAGCCTCAAATATATTAATTCTTTGTTTGAAGACGAGTCTGAAGAGAACACATAAAAAAATATCACAACACATGCTGAATCCATATAAAATATGAAACAATAATTTAGAGAACAGTACATCCTATGTCCTCTGTGAAGTACACTTTTTTTTAATCACATACTACTGTGATTATACTTCACTAAGAAACAGAAGAGAGCCAAGTGGATATGCTTGATTTGGTACCTCCCTAGATCTGAGTACTTGTTTTTGCAGCGTTACCACGTTCTTGTTTGCAATATATATATATGTATTTCATAAAATGATAATAGTGAAATATGAGCAATTGGGAAAAAAAGACAACATCCACATGAAATTTCAACTGTTAGCAATAAAAGACAGAATAATGTCTCTGTTTACTGATGAGATTGGTTATCACGTTTGGTAACATACAAAAATTCCTTCTGTAATGGACTGAGTTTCGCTAGGCTGGAAAGAAAGAGAGAGCCAACTGATGTAGTTTGAAATAAGTAGTAAGGCTGCCTATATCCTAATATCATCACATCCTGAAACAGGAAATCCTCAGTAACCTGAAGGGATGCTCCCCATATTTGAGTTGTGCCAATCCTCATGAACCTGCAGCCATCTCAGCAGGGTGCAAACTGATGGCTGCTCATTGGAATTGTTACACATCTTCCAGAAGTCACTGGAATGATACAACTCCGGAAGGTAAAAAGACAAATACATTAGTCCAACCTTTGCTCAGATTAACTTTAAAGTTGAATTTCAGAACACAGTAAGATGACTCATTAAGAACACCACAGATTCCTTATTTATTTAAAACAAAGCAAATAATCCAGTAGATGTACGACAACAACTGTCAATGTGTTGTCATTGTGCCTGGAAGAATCAATTTCTAGAGGAAGACTGAGTTTAGCCTCTAAGTCAATTCTAAATATAGTCTTTTGTCCCAGACCGAAAACAAAAATGGAATTTACAATGGTCCTTCCCTGTTTGTCCTTCTCCACCCTCAAGCTGGATCTAGTAAAAATAACTTGTACTGAAATCATGTAAGGCATCTAGCAGCACCAAACTAGAAATTAAAATTGAGTGCCTTTCATAATGACCAGTAAACATTATTCTGTTCATTGAAGCATAAAGTGGAATAATTCATGTTATAATCAAAGCTGTCACAGCATATTACTAACAAATTGTGAATCTAGGTTCATCCACCCACAAATATAAATGTAATTTCTTCCTGATATCAAGACTCAGGTGAATAAACTCCATTTCGGTAGGAGTGGCTGAGGTAATTTACATGTAAAGCTTTGACTTTTTACCCACTGAAAAACTAAACAGAAACAATCCACTACAACCTGGATAGTCTTCAGTTGTTTAAAAGTGTAGTAATTACTCTAATTATATAAAATTCAATGATGAAGCTGGGAAAGATCTGGGACTTTGGAATATCTGTTCACATTTCAGTTCAAGTGTGAAACATTTACACACTTAAGGCAATTTAACTGACTGGCTCTACATAATCAGCAGGTCAAGTGCACGTTAAAGAGGAACAGCCATAATCACTTCTAATAAAAGCTGACAAAATTAATTTTTGGGGGAGTCTTCACTGCTATTGTTATGATGGCAGCTACCCTGGGAGACCTGAACCTAATTTCACCATATTTTGACAAAATAGCTGCTTCTTTCATGGACTCTTTCTGTAATCACTGCCTTTCCTCCAGTTCTTTAAAAAAGTATTCACAGAACTCACATATGCTCTTTTACTTTCAATTCTGCACTGATACGAGTATTATGTTTTGTACTCATTCTTTTGTTGCAAAGCCTCTTGCAGCGGCTGTGATGCTCAACTTGAGAATCACACATCTCCTCACAGTCTTCTCTTAATTTAACCAGCCATCCACATGAAAGGAAGAAATCAGGCCCTATCTTCAGGGCCCTAAACTTTTTTTCTGAAACAGTTCTGTGGAACACTACAATTACAGTCTCAAGCATTTTCGAAAACAACAGTCAATCAAGGTTTGTTAGTCCCAGAACGCTGAAACTAATCTAGCTGCAATATTTTTACTCTTCAGTTCTTGGGTTTTCTCCCCCATCAATCATGAACTGAAATTAAATTTTAAAAATCTGAAGCTTGGGTATTAGTTGATGCTTTACATAGGCATTACATACTGAAAAGAAAAAAAGCTAACATGCTCCTAATTTTACAAGCAGTATTTTAAAATTTTGGAAAGGTCAGAGCTAAGGGTAATTAATGAGAATGAAAATGTTCCAGTGAAAGTAACTACAGTCAGAAGCAGAAATCTGCCACAGATTTAGAAGGTTTTTCCAATAAGAAATAAAGTACTTCAGAAGAAAGAAACACATGAAAAAAGACTAGGCCTATTATTCTTGGAGAAAACTGACATAAAGCAGTGTAAGTTTGAACTGCACTTTTATTCCTAGCTGTATAGAATGAAAAATCCAGTTCCAGTGGTGTCTCTACATATCCAGTTCTAATGTTATGGAAGGACACGGAACATGAATTCCATTGTTTTTTAATATTCTTGTGATTTTATCGCATGGAAAAAACACCATAGTATTTCCAATCAGAACACAAATTTCAGTGTTAATACAAACTAATGGAAATTAATTGTGGAAGAAAATGTTTTTAATGGTCTCTATTCCTTCAGTAACCCTGTCTCTACAGTATGTGAATTCATTCATACTGAAAGGGGAACACAAACAGTTTTTGGAATAGTGGCATGAGCAGCTCATAGGGTTTTGATGACAATGCCTGTCAAACAAGCACTCTTGCACGAATGGAAAAAAACCCTCAAAACCAAAAGCAGATGTTTTTATTCTGTATCTAATGTCACCCAACTATTCTAAGCAGTTCCTAACAAAAACTGCCCAGAAACTATTCCAAATAAAATCAGGTAAACATTTAAAGTGAATTCCTAAGTAGCAATGACTACCAAATAATGTGTCTTGTCAAAAGCAAGTCTTCCAGAAGCAAGTGTCTGGAGTTTTTCAGTGAAACTGCAATACTGTTAGTACAGGTTTAGCTGAAATTAATGAAATAGACTCTCAAGTCTCTACCACACGTAACTCTTTTTAGAAAAAGTCTCTAGTTCTAAAAACGCAAAGTTCAATAAGGGAAAAAAGAAAAACAAAAACAAAAAAACCCAAGCAAACCTCAAGCTCCAGTATAACGTAAGGGCAATATAGTTATAATTAATCAGACAAGCAGCAATTTTTTAACTTTAAAAGCTTAGGACAAAACTTGATGTTAACATTTAACTAAATGCAACATGAAAAACCCCAAACCTTACAATTAAAAACAAAAAGGCAGTGGTAGAAAGGTTACAAAGACAAAAAGTTAGAAGTAAGTGCTCCCTTCGGCGCGTTGGGTCAGAAACCGGCCGTGAGGCCATTTCTCCTCACTCCCCTTTCTCTTCCCCCTACTTTTCCCTTAGTTAGTTGCTCACACAAGCACATGAACGGTATCTGCCCCCAAGGGCCTTTCGCAGTCGCGGCTGGGGAGAAGGGCGGGCAACTTTATCACTTCACTTCGTGCCCGACACTTGAGCCGGGGCAGGAGGAGAGAGGGAAGGAGGCAGCGCGCCGGAGTCCTCCCCTCAGCGTGAGCCCTGCAGGGGACACAGGGGCCAGCCCGGGGCCGGGGGGCCAGCCCGGGGCCGGGGCACCCGCCCGGGCCTATCCACCTGCCCGCCGGAGCTGGCCTGCTCCTCCGCGGAGAGGCGGCCGAGCGGCTGCTCCGACAGCAGCGCCCGCCCCTCGCAGCCCCTGCCCGCATCCTCCTCCCCGGGAGGGAAACTCATCCTGGATGTCCGCGCTCCCTGCCGGGGCAGCACCCGGCGGGGCGGCCGCTGCGGCGGGTGCGCCGCACCAGCAGCGGCCCGAAGCGGCGCCGCGCCGGCGGCACCCCCGGCCGTACCGCTGAGCCCCCGCGCCGCCCCGCGCCCTACCAGGTCGTAGTCCTCCTCATCATCGCACATGAAATCATCCTCCATGTCAGACATCTTGGCCGGAGGACGGGCGGGGGGCGGCGGCGGGAACGGCCCCTTCTCCCACAAGCCCGCGCGGCGCTGCCCAATGTGGCTGCGCTCCGCCCGGAACCGCTGCCGCCCGCGCCTCTCCCGCCCCCGGCCCGGGGCGCTCGGAGCCCAATCCGCGCCGCCCCGCCACCAGCTCCCTCCCTCTGCTAGCGACCGGCCCTTGGCAACGGCGGCCGGGCGGGGCCTGAGCGCTGCGCTCCGGAAGCTCCGGGGCCGGCGCTGCCGCTGCCTGGAGTGCGCCGGGCTGGCGCCCGGGCCGCCTGCCGTGTGTCCGGCCTGGGCGCTGCCAGCCCGCAGCCCCCACGGTGCCTGCGAGTCTGGTGGCAGGCGCGTCCCTGGAAAGGTCGAGGGAAGTAATCGTGCCCCCCGGCTCAGCCCTGATGAGGCCGCATTTGGAGTACTGTGTACAGTTGTGGCATTCACAGTAGAAAACAGATACGGAACTCCTAGAGCAGGTCCAGCAGAGCTAATAAGTTGGCCAAGAGTCTGGAGAGATATCTCATGAGGAAGGGCTAAGGGAGCCGGGCCTGTTCAGCCTCAAAAAGAGGCAACTGAGAGAGGTTCCTGTGTAAAGCATAGGTGTCAAAAGGATGGAATTGGACTCTTCTTTGTGAACAAGGAAGAATGGGTGGTAACTGATGCACAGAAAGGCCAACTTGAACATGAGGAAGAACTTCACTGTGCGAGTTACCATGTACTCGAACAGATTGCCCAGAGAGGTTGTGGAGGCTCCCTGACTGGAGAAATTCCAGAACGGAACACAATCCTGGTCCGTGTGTTCTGGGATGACCCTGCCTGAGCAAGGAGGTTGGACTGGATGACACACGGTCCCTTCCAACATGACCCATTCTGTGAAAGCTGGGCCTGTTGCTGTGACTGGCATCACTGCTCAGATCCATTTTGCTTTACTCAGTGCTGCTGAACCGATTACCTGGGCTGTGTTCACCATAAGCAAGTAATACCAGAGCAGCAGTTTTAAAGGCCTGAACTCTTTAAATCCACAGGTCTTGCAAAGCAATGGCTTTATAGATATTTTTACATTCTAATTTCTGCTGCCGCCTTCAACAGACCAGCTCTGCCTCCCCATCTCCACAAGGCCTGGAGTTCTGACAGACACACAGATGCAACTGCAATACTTACTTGGTCATTTTATACTGCTATGGTTTCTGACAGTAGGTTTTTGGTTTGTGGTTTTTTTTCACTACAGCTACTGACAAGTCTTTTAAAAGTTGTGTTTGTATTCTACAACCCTCCTAATGGAGAAATAAACATTCTACCTCAGAAAACTCACAATGAAATTTGTTACTGTGCTTCCTTCAGTCTGAGCACTTTAAAGCTCCCTGAATAGGATGAGGAACCGTAAGATAGATACCAAAATAGACAAAGATATACACCAAAACACTGTGTGAGCCTGTGAATACTTTTGAAATGCTCAGCTCCTTGCAAGTACCTGTAGCCATTAATCCAAGGCTGTCTATTGGAGGGGAGCTGATGGAACACCACAAAAAACACGGGGACGGAGACACCCATCCCTCCATGCCATGCGAGATGCGACTGTCCATTTATTATTTTCATTGCACATGCATTTTGCAGGAGCATCGGCAGGAATACCGGAAAACCCCAAACATTTATTTCGCACGTCGCAGCAGCTTCCCTGTGCCACCTGAGCTTGCGGGCGCGGGGCCGAGTGCGGAGCGGCTCCAGGGCCGGGCGCGGCGCGGGGAGCCCGGGCCGAGCCCCGCCGGCGGGGCGGGACGGGGCCGGGCCGCCGGCGCTGCGCCCGGAAGGACGCGGCGTTCGCTGCCCCGTGACCGCGGCCCCGCCGGAGCCGCCATGGCGGGGGACAGCCCCAGCGCCCTCCCGGTGCAGCTGGTGGAGCAGCCCAGGTGGGTGGGTGGTCCCGGCCCCGCCGCCGCTCATCCCGGCGCGGGTGGGCGGTCTGCGGGCGGGCGGCCGGGGGAGGTGGGAGGACCGGTGAGTAAATGCTCCTCATGCTGCGGGCTGAGCTGCGAGGGGGTGTGGACTCGTAGCGCCGTAATTTTTCCCTGACACGACCAGAGACGCTTGGGAAGCTCCCGCTGCCCGGGGCGCGCCGGGCTCCGGCCCCTTCTCCCACCCACAGCAGCCCGGCCCGCCCTGACGCCCCTCGCAGGGTGGTGCTGGGGCAGCAGGAGGAATCGTTCATTAATTCCTTCATTCATTCATTTATTCATTCATCATTTCGCCTGCATCAGTTTTCCCCCAGCGTTTTTGAGGCATACTGATTATTCTCTCGTCCTTTTTGCTGTAAAAGGCCCTAGAGCAGCGCTAGCCTGGCCCGTCCTGGCGGTGCGTGCTCCTTGCCGTGGAGCTGCGCTCGGTGTGTGCAGTGAACGCGCGCACAAATGCACCTTTCTGCTTGCCTTGCATACGATTGCGCCGTAAATCCCACGGAAACGACAAGTCCAGCATTTCCAGACTTGCAAGTGCGAAGTTGTGAGAGTGCCTTTGCTTTAAGGCTGCTGACAATTTTCTTCTTGATGTAGGTGCTTGAAATGCAGTGTGCGTGTTGCAACATCAAGGCCAAAGCCTGTAAATAGCCTTTCATCACGCTTGCTTGTAAAACCCGCATTAAAAAAAGAGATCAATCAGCACTTAGATAAACATGCCCTCATGACTGCTTTGTTTGTTGTCTCTTGGTACCAACACTACTATAAAAATATCTGTGAAACAAAGCAGCATTCTAAATACTGACACAAAAAGGAATAAAGTTAACACCTAGAATTTTGCCAACAGATTCCCCTGTGGACTATAATATTATTAATGCAATCTAGAGAAGGGTTTGAACAATGAAGTGGCAGAAATTGCTTTTGCTAATTGGATGAGTGATATACCAGTAAATACTGGGGGAGATTATGAGAAGGGGAAGTCATAGACCTAATATAGCTTTGTCACTGGGCACAAAGATAGAAAGGTACTGAAAGATCTGTTAAAAATATCATAGCAAAACGTATTTAGTAGCTTTCCATTTATAAAAAACCTTATGAAACATTTTAATACATGTAGCTGAACAGTAACACAGCCTTTACAAAGATGTAGAAACTAGGTAATTGTGGAATTTTCTAACATCTGTTTCTGGTTGCAGTCTTCTTACTTCCACTTTGCATTAACAAGGCTTCCAATTCTAGATTTAGATCAAATGTAGAAACCTTATCAGGGTTCATGTTACTGGATTTTTTTCAGTAGACTAAAATTTTGCTTTAAGGTAGTTTCAAAACGAATTACTATCAAGTTTCCTCTGCTTCACTAAAATATATGGCTTTATCTGTTCTCAGCCCTCGTTTTCCTACTGTTCTGCATGACACACTAAAGTATCCCAACTTTGCAAACATCAGGCAGAAGGTTGGTACCTTTACTTTTGCACGAAATAAAGCAATATGACGAAGTTTATTTGCTTTGAATTTTCAGTAGCACCTCTAAATGGAAAACCTAAAGTACTTTTGCTGGAATCCTTTGGACTAAATACTGTCATAAGTCATGGGGATAATCTGACATTTGGAATTTTAGTTCTCCTTGTATGTATTTATGTAAAGGTGGGGTAGTGCCAAATATGAAAATTTATAAAAATCAAAATCTGAGTATTCAATGTTATGTGAAGAGCAGAAATAACCAGCTTAATGTCACTCCTGATGTAGCAGAGAAGACTCCACATACTTCAGGACTGAATTGAATTTGCTTCAAGAAGCATTGAAGTTTACTGTCTTTTATGCAAATACAGTCCTTCTAAATATTTCTAACCTGCCTTTCAGATTGCAGAAACTGAAGGAGATGTTTATATCAAAGTTTGGATCAGCTCCCAAGTTTTATGCTCGTGCACCGGGACGAGTCAACTTAATAGGTAAAAGAGAAAAATTAATTTTATGTTGTTTTACTTCATCTGTCATCATAGAAGTCTAGTAGTTTAAAACACAGAACAAAAATGCTGGTCTTAATTTAATTTTTTCAGAGAAGTTTCTTGTGATAAATGGAAAATCATATATAATTTAGTAGATCTTACTGTATCATTATAGACAACTCTATATGGATAGTTTTGGAGAAAAACATTTACAGACAGTAGCGATGGTTTTGAAAATTGGAGTAACTTGGTATTTTTAAAAAATTAATTTAAGTTACCAAATATAACCAGCCCCACAGCAATATACATGATAAAGCATTAAATGATGCTGCCATCACCTCTTCTTTATTCTTCCACAGAGATGTGTCCACAGAACTTAAAACAGTGGGTGTGATTCACTGGCAGACTGGAGAATCACAATTATTTTGTGTTTAGGACTTACTTTTATTTCTGTAGCAGCCTTATTTTTTCGATTACTCTGTCCATGTTAGGATTGCGTTCTCTTTGGAGATGAGTTTCTTGCATATGTTCCTAAAATAATCCTACACATTTGAAGACATAGTAAAAGGGTCCTGAGAAACAGAGCTGTAAAAGACAATTAGTTTATTATGCAGTTAATTTTTATCTCAGTGTTGTGTGAACATCTCATATAGACTAAACAGACAGCATATGGTAACTGGGAATTATTCCCAAGGGAGAGGATGTTTGCTATATACATTTTCTATTTGATCGTTACTTTATGTGTTGTATGCAACTGCATTAATGATTATTTAAATATAGTAGTTATCTTCTTGGAAAAAGGTCCAGAAATTGTATGTACATGACAGTTCTCATGCTTGGACAGTAATCTACATGGTGGGTTTTTTCTAGAATTTTTGTAACCCAGCATTAAAATATGAACATTTATAAAGAGGTGCAATAGATAAAAATCAGTAAAGAAAAAAAAAAAAACTTTTTGTGAAGTAATAAGAAATGGAGGAACTGTACCCCGAACTTTAAGTAATAAGAGTTGAAACTACAATAAGAAATTGTCTCATCCAGTAAACAACACTGAAGCCCTGTAGAAATTGTGTTACTGCTACTCTAGAAAGAATTATTGCAAAGTATTTTCTTTATTTCTTTGCTAGGAGAACACATAGACTACTGTGGTTATGCTGTGCTCCCAATGGCTATAGAACAAGATATCCTGATTGCAGTAGAACCTGTACAGTCTCAAGTTGTGCAGCTGGCAAATACCAATTCTTCATATTTGTATGTAATTACTTTGTTTATTCATTATTTTTTATGAACCTCTTCATGCATTGCAATAGAGTTTACCTTTTCAGAGATCTGACAGACTTCCATTGCAATAAGAGTCCGGTTGTGTAAAACAATTAATATCAGCAGATGGAATCCCACAGACTGGCTCCATGCCGTGTGTATTAGTTTAGAGCAATAGCTTTGCAGCTGCTGTGCCCCCCCGTTTGTTCATATTACTCTGTAAGGCGTCTGATTTTTCAATCCTTCTAAAAATGCAATTCTGTCTTCCCTTTTTTTATCTCATCTTTCTTGATATAATCCCCATAATTGGCAGCAGTTCCATTTCCCCTGGAGAAGGGAGTGAAATGTTTTGTAATGATTACTGCAAAAGTAAGGTAACACTCCCCTGCTCTGGAGAACCTGGGCCTGTGTTTTCACAACACAACAGTTTTAGCAACAATCCTGGCTCAAAAAATCTGTATTCCCTTGCTTCCACTTCCTCCACAGCTGTTGTTCACAGAATTATAGGGCAATTTAGGTTGGAAGAGACCTTTGAAGATCCCTTGTAAATAATCTTGTTGGCCTTCTGCTGAACTCCCTGCCAATGTCTTTCATGTATTGGGAAACCCCAAAACTGGACGCAGTATTCCAGCTATGGTCTCACAAGTGCTGAACACAGGGAAATAATCCTGCCACTCTTTTCAACTTCAGGCACGTTTTTCTGCCTCTTTGTAACAGACTGGTATTTGTGTAGTTGCATGGTAGTTCAGATCAGGTCACTCACCCACATGAGCTTTTGTGGAAATTTTTGCAAAAATCAGAATCAGCAAAAGCTTAGTTTAAGCCATTTTTATTGAGCCATTGATTTAATTGGTAAATTAGTTCCTGAAAGCACAGTGTGTGGCAGCAAAGGGACAGGAACATACTGTAGTGGGAAATACTTGAGCACATATTCCTCCTTAAAGCTCAGTTGGTTATAAACACATTTTGAACTGCTGCCTGTGACTAAGACAGTTGAAAGGAATTTGTACTTCCATGCTAAGTATAAATACTCCGAGATTTTTCACTTTTTGTAGTATGTTTTCACATTATAGCTGAGCTGAATTAAGAGTTTGCCACTGCCAAAAAGCAATGGCTTGGCTTCTTTAACCCCTAGTCTCCCTGTACCTGCTTCTAAGATCAACTCATCCCTTTAGCAGGTGTAGAGTACTTGTTTGATCTTAAGGCAAAGTGCATTATTCCCCCATATTTTGCTTGGATAATTTTCTGTCATTTTTGTGAATTGCCATGTACTCAGCACTAAATCTGACTTGGGGTACACAGTGGGAACAAGCAGTGGTGAACAGGGAAGGGAAATGGAAGGTGTGCTTGGGACCTTTCCCTTTCTTCAACAGCAACCTCCCACCAGGGCTTAAGCTGTGATGCAAAAGCATTCTGCAAGAGACAATAGCTTCAGAATTACAATAGTTTTGATTAGGCAAAGTTGTTATATTGAACACAAAATAAAGCAGTAATAAAAAGGTAAACATTTTCACTCAGTCTTCAAGCTTAGCTGCATTATATTGCAATTGAAATGGCCTTCTCAGGACAGTTCCACAAAATGTAGAATTACAGCCTTTGAATTTAAATTGCACACACTGTCACTATATTTTCACATCTGCCCTGGTTTCAGTTTGGAATCATATGCTTTAAACCATAAACCAAGAAAAGGTCTCAGAACACAGCATTAAGCATCTTGGTTTTGTTGAGACACTGTTGCTTAAAAATAAAGCTAAAACATGCCCATAATTTCATAACAAAGAAATATTTTTCAACACTTTTAAAGTTACACCACATAACAGAACTGATGACAGTATGTCTCTTTTTCCCAGCCTGTTACACTGGTAGATTTATGCCTGTGGTGAATGTGTATCTATAGGCCTTTGGTGAACAAGGACTAACCAGAATCCTCTGTAGAATTACTATTTCATATTTAATTCTTATTTTGTGAACTGGTAAACTGTGGAACAGTTCTGTAGCACTCTTTCACCCTGATAATTCATGTCAACTTTTAATAGAAATAGAACAAAGAACAGGTTGCTAGAAAAACCACCTATTTGTTTTTTATCATAAATTATCTCAAGTGATCTGATGCCTTTTATGTTAATGGGACTGAAAAGGTATTCAAAACTTACATTCTTTTGAAGTTCCTGATACCTCCCCTTCACAAAACATCTTTGTAATTGAGAAGTATGTGTAGAGAGAATATCTGACTTCTCAAAGTGCCTTCAGAAGTACCAGGGGATGGTAATTACCAATCAGTTTCCATCTCACACAAAACCTGAAAGGTTTGTTTGTTTGTTTTTAAATCAGGGTATTTGTACAGAAGACTCAGATAAACTAACAGAATGACAAGACAGTAAGGTTCTGGGAGAAAGATCCAAACTGATCTCCCAAAAATAAGGGTTATTTACTATTCAATCAGTAAAAACCACCTCAGTCACACTACTTAAAAATCCCATCTCTTCTAATTATACAGAAAAATTGAAATTTTTATGTCTGGCTATGGAGAACTGGCATTTTTTCCCCAAGCATACTTTAAAACAGAAGGGCTGGAACAGACAATATCAGAGTATTTTATTTCATGGGTATGTTTTTCCCAGTATTTTATTTTATTTTGTTATAAAGTTCTTATATTAAACTGCCTAATTTTCAGTAGGAGGTTCAAAGGCAAGCCTGAAGATTTACTGATTTAAGATAACGCTCGGATATTTAGGAACTGTTTTTTATAAAAAATTGAATGTGATAACAAAAAATAGACTTAAGGATTCTGGGAATTTTGACAGTCCCACATTCTGTGTTTGTGTGGATTATGTCCATATAAAACCTGCCAAAATCAAAGCAATGTTTTTCTTCCATTTTCTATGTGAGAAAATTGCAAAAAATAGCAAAATGCATTTTAAGAAGTCATTATTTTAATTTATCTTGAGAACCAGCAAATATATAATCATAATATGTGTCTTCTCATTCATTGAAATTTTACTGTCTGAGAGGGTAAAATGAATTATGAAGATAAAATACTTTAGAAATCTTTGAGGCAAAGAAGACTTAAGATTCCTTTTCTCTTAATGACTTCCACAAATTGCTTTCCACCAGCCTTGTCTTTTACAACAATAATTTAGGATTATTGTAGGAAGCAAGCATAAACAAACAAAGAATTTTAAAATCTTCATTGTTTATGACAAGTATTTTCTATTTTACAAATACCTCATGGAGGATTTATTTTATTCAAAAACCATAAATAAGTTGATGGTTTATTCTCTTGGAGATCATTCTAAATATAAATTGGAAGAATTGACAGCCAGTCTCAAGCTTTCCTCGTACTCTAATTTCAGTATTCCCTTTCATATCTTTTGTGTTCCTCAGCAAAACCTAGTAATTTCTTACTCTAGCTTTGTGCTATTATTTGCTGCTGCACTGCTGGTAAAATCCTGTTTGTGGCACTAAGATAGCAGCTTACACATTAAATTGTACACCAACCTGGTGGGTTTGCTCTGTAATTAAGGTTGAACTGAACATATAACTGGCAAAATGGGAATTCTATTGATACTGCAAGTGCCAGATCTGTTGTGCCATGGGGCTGGGAATGGGCTGTAGGCTGGGATTGCAAGTGGAGTTCCTCACTTCAGTGGGGCAAGCAAAAGACCAGATCAATTGTGGTGCTACTGCAACACTGCTTGTTGCTTTGGGGGTTGCATGACGCCAAAAACTGCAGCCTTTAAGTGCACCAGAATAAAGTGAGCTTTTCAGACATTTGCTTGAATATAATTTTATCATACTAAAGATGCTTTATATTTGTATGTCTTTTTCTCCATAGGTAACCAGAATAATTAACTGATAAAAACATCTTTTCACTGGTATCCATTACAAGTGTTAAATAGTGATGTTCTTTTGGACAAAAATAAACCCAGGAAATCAATAATTTATGTAGTTTACTAGGACCAGTGTAAGAAGGAAAAATTCCATCCTTTTAGGAGTTGCAGACTGTTCCCTGAAGTGTTATTTCTTGAAACTGGTTTTATTCCTGTTAAATATTTCCAGGAAGTCAGCTGCCTCTGTTCATATTTTATAGCAGACCTTGCCTTGTAGAGCACATCTTACTCTGGAACTTTTGAATATTTTAAATCTGATTCCTTGCTGTTCTCAGTGCCTTTGCTGTTTCTGAGTTGGGCACCTGCTGTCACGACATCAAGCAGATTAAATTCCTGGGTACAAGGGTACAGAGTGCCAAACAACTTGCACCTCCCTGAGGCCTCTGCATGTCACCCATGCCCATTTTGTCAGCACCTTCAGGAATATTCAAGCTCAATATTTTTATTACTTTGAAAGAAAGGTGGAGTAGGAATTATCTGTGAGGAAACAGATAAAATATTTAAACTAAATATTTTTAACATACACAATATAATTCTGCAGCATTAGGCTTGTTTTAGTGAAGTGCCATTCAGAGCAAAGGTAATGAAGATGAAATCCTGAGCAGGAATTACCAGAGGGCCTGAAGTTTATCTGTCTCTAGTCAAGGTCTGACAGATATGATTTGAATTTTCACTTCTAAGAAATCATGATAGTATACACATACATGATGGAAGGCATCCTGCCTTAATTAAGGATGTCAAAGGCAGCTTAATTTCTGGATTTATTTAATAGAATCTTTATACTTACTTAAGAATTCTTATGCTGTCATCTAAAATAACCATATAAAAATGATTAATAAAGAAGATATGTAAAAAGATCAAACAAGAAACCAAGCCCGAAAACATTGCACTGAAAACCATCAAACCAATTTTGTCCATCAGCAGGTGGCAGTAACAAGCCATGTATTTTCAAACTAAATTTAATACAAATTAAAGCCTTAAGGTTTTTCTGTTTTTGCAGGGATTTCAGTACTAGTGTTAATAACATTCAGATTCACAAAACCAAACCTCAGTGGCATAACTACTTCCTGTGTGGATTGAAGGGTATTCAGGTAAGCCAAATCCATTTAATTTATGAAATTAATGTAGAAGTAAAATACAACAAGAATACCTATTTACCCTCAAAATGTTTCCCCGCATTCTGTAGCTTTTTTTAACATAAAGTTAAATATTTTTATGTTAAAACTTGAAGAGGAGATATGAGTGGATTTTCTTTAAAATATTGGCAGAGCACTATTTTCATCTCTATAAAACAAATTACAATAGCAGGTAATTGCTTCAGAAAGTCATGATCAAACATTTTCTGGTTGAAATTTCTGTATTTTGAAGTCAAAAGGAATGGTTTCCAATAGAATTATTTAAATAAAATCTGCTTTGAAAAAGATTTGGAGTTTTTTTTTTTTTTTCCCCAGGACATGGAGATCATATCTTAACCCTTTTCTTTCCATGGAAGCATTTCAAAAATACAGACTTCCATTAAAGCTGAAAACCTGTAATTTGTGCACAACAGCTGAGTGAAGCTGACTCATGCAGTAGGCAAAAGAAAATGCAAAAGCCAAGTAAACAGCATACAGGAGAAATAACCCATTAAAGACCATTACTCATCCCACTTTTCAGGGTTTGAAATTTGAATGGGATTTTCAGAAATGTCCTGAGTTAAAAGTGCAGCTGTGCAGGAGGGGGCACACTTATGGTAAAGGCAGGAGCACAACCTCCCAGACATTTTCCTGGCTGCCACTGGAGGTTTATCCCCTCTGCAGCCTGGCCTGAGGACCCAGCTCTTGTGAAAGCAACTGCTGGTGGTCAGTGCTGCCCTGCAAGGTGCCCTTAACTCACCACGAGGCTCCTGGAAATCTCACCTGCTCTTTGCAGGTGAGGCACAGAATTCACAGCCCATTGAGGGAGGAGAAAAGGTGTCTGGTCAATGTCAATCTAACGATATTTCTGGAAGGGCAGATGGGATAAACAGTGATGGCAAGTCAGGAACAGGTTGCCACAGCCATCCCAAATTATGGGTAAACGTGCTTTTTAAAGCACATGAAGTTTGCCTCTGCATAGGCCATCTAGGTCCCCCACAGGATGATCCAATAGATAAGGACTGCAGACTGCTGAAAAGCCTACCTCAGACCTGCCACTGGAGTCTTCAAAATACAATATTCACAACAGTCAGTGCCACAAATCACTTTATTACAATTCACAGGTCCTAAACCACCCCCTGCTCATATGCATAGACCCAAATAAATTGCTTATGTGTGCAGTAACATGAGTATTTTCAATTTTCTATTGCTCAGTAATGTAGGCATTTAAATTGCACTGACTGTAGAGATATAGATTAGGTTTCTTTACAATATATCCTTTCTTATATTAAGGCTTGCATGACCAATTGACTTTATTTATTTTGCAGTCTGCTACTGAGATCTGTTTCCTAAGGACAGGCTTTCATACTTGAAGGTTAATTTGCAAAGCAGGTTTGCAGACTCTTGTACTGGCAGAAAATAAGCATAAATGTTGCAGACTTAAGAAATACAAGTACTCAGAGGGTCCAACGAGATAATCTGTTTATATTAAGCTGAACATGCTATCCTTTTGGGACAGAACTGTTGCAGAACTTGGCAAAGTCCATTTTCATTTTTGAAACTGAAGTACGTTTTCTATTTAAACATCGCGTGATAAGTCTGCAAGCCTGATTCACGTTCAAGACAATCCAGAAACTGTGGATCAGTTTCTGGTTACTCAAGCATTTTCTGTTTATGAACAAGTCTGTCTAGTGTTCTTCATGAAGGGGCATGGGCAGCAATAGTATTCTAGATATGAATTTCCTTTATTTGTAAAACAGGAAATTCAAAATATAATTTGAAGTGATCGTAGAAGACTTTAGAGGAGACTCGTTGTGTTTGCTCATCTCTACCATTGGTATTTATGGTTGAAGTTGTTCCAGGAGAAGTAGTAGAAATCTTTTCAAGGGGGACATTTCTTCATGAAAATACTGTTATTTTTCTGATTATTGGCACTGTCACGGTTTATTGACGTATAAATTGCATCAGAAGTTAGCTATTCATATACTCCCCATATAAAATGATTTTTTAATAAGTACTGCATGTTTGTTTTAAACTAATAGCAGAAAGAAATTTATATAAAAGTTAATATAAAGACAAACCAACTAAAGAATATTTAAAAGAGTATATACATGAGGATTTATGATTTCTGGATTAAATGTATTATCTGTTGTATCTATCATGTATGTTATAATATATGTATGTTAGAATATTTTAAACTTCCTTCAAAAAACAGCGTGCCAGAGAGCATCCCCAGTGGTAGGTGTGTCTTTGTTACCCTAAAGCCCAGAGTTCCTAAAGTACCATTGTGGTTTTCCCAGTGTCAGTCTGTGGGTGCTCCAGGACACAAGTATCTGCTTTGAAAACAGCTGCATGGCTACTGGTTCCCCCTCAGCGTCATGTGGCTCCCTAATACCACGTGCCAGCATTGGCAGTGAAACACAAAGTGGACCTTGAGCTTTTTGTGGTGCCTAAAATGAAGAGCTGTCGAGAAAAGGACAAAAGTAGGGTATAAAAGGAGTGGTAACTTCTCACTGTCACCACAGCAGCTCAAAGCAGAGCCGGTTGCTGCAAAACCCACCCACGAAGCTTGGTAAATTCTTGGGCATGCAGCCCATCCTGAGTTCTGCTTGGGGTAGTTATATGTTTATGTACAGCAATTGCAGACATACCTTTGGCTGAAGCCCCACCACTGGCTTTGTTCTAAAGGAATAGAATTAAAATTTTGCTTTTGCTTTATTTTGGAGATACCAGAAGCAGGTCCTTGCTTCCAGCAACTCAGCAGAAGGATTCTCTTTCTAAGTATCAGATAATTGCAAGCCTGAGCCTGTCTGTACTTGAAACTGAGATTGTTTATTTTTTCATTGTTAGGAACATTTTGGTCTCAATAACCCAACTGGAATGAATTGTCTGCTAGATGGATCCATCCCTCCAAGTTCTGGTCTCTCTAGCTCCAGTGCTTTGGTGTGCTGTGCAGGACTCGTGACACTCAGAGCTAATGGAAAAACCCTCTCTAAGGTAATTTACTGTAAAACACAAGAGTGTCAGCAGTAAAATTCTACTTAAAATTAAATATTGTTAATGCCTGTAAACATTAAAAACACGATACAATTGTTTTTGCAAAGAGTTGTTGGATATAAACTAAAGATATTGCACAATTGAGCAAACATCTTTGGCCAAATTTTGGCAGGATTTGAATTTGGCAAGAAGACAGGCTTACATTAAAGCTGAAAAAAGGAGCATTATTCTCAGCCTGTATTTTGGCCAACCATCAGGTCCATGCCTGGACCAGATGTGCTATCTGCAGGCCAGGGCTGAGGATATATGTGCTGAAGCATGTGGACCACACCCCCGAGGCCTTTACTCTCTCCCTGAATGACTTTTCATGGCTTTAACAACAGAGCATCTGTTGGAGGCCTGTGGAACAATTTCTTGACAAATTATGTAATCAGCACAAAGCAGAGGTAAAATTCTTCCATCTGACTCTCCTTATTCTCTTCACAGTTTTTTTGGAACACATATTTACAATCCAAAATGTATTCCTCACTTTTAAACAAACATTAGTCTAAAAACAAACCCCAAGTATGTGACCTGTTAGCAGTACAACTGTTAGCACTGTTTGGCTTGTGTAATACAGATTTCTGGAGGAGTCATGGTCCTTGAAGGTGCCATATGGGAATGAAGTTCTCTCCATTAAAAATGTCTGGTTAAGTGAAACTAGGATCTTAAATTAGAACATTGTCAAGAAGAGAAAAGAACAGATCTAAATGTGACTGTTACACATATTTGTGCCTATTGTCTAAGACAGACATTCCCAAATTGTGGTACAAAGCCAACTGAAAGTGGCACATGATGATGGCAGCTGTTAACTCTGCTTGTAACAAGAACTTCTCTGAGCCATGAGGTGAAAAGATCCACACAGAAGTTTTTGCTGATCTGTTGGGATTTACTTCTCTATGAGGCTGCAGTTGCAGGAATGCTCTCAGCAGCGAGTGCACAATCCCACATTGCTCCCAGGGTGGGCTTCAGGAGCATCAGGCAGAAAGGAGCTGGGTTGGAGAGGCAGGGAAGCTTTTCATGTAGGAGGATGTGGCTACAGTTACTGTCACCTTGACTGGTGTTGGTTGGTGTGTGATCAAAGGATCACACACCGTAAGAGAGGCTCTGGTTTGGGAGGTGAGACGTGTAGAGCAGTGGTAGATAAAAACATGGAATTGAGGATCCTTCTTGGATGAATGGGACTGCAGTTAAAGGGTTGGAGGTGACTGAATGTGTACCTGGCCTGACAAGAAGCTTCTGGTTTTGCATAGATGGTCCTACCACAGGTCAGCACTGTCTCTGATGGGGGTCATCTCAAGAGTGAAGCTTGGGAACAACTGATCAAAATCACTGGAGTGCACGTGTTCACAATTTGGGTATCTGCACAAGCATAAAACTGACAGAGGTCAGAAAGCCCAAATTTTACTAGGTAGTAAAAATCAGTATCTGGAAAACCAGAAGCCAGGTTTTCATTATGCCAATTCTCCACAGTGTCCTTCAGAGAACAAATGATACAGTGTGTATCATGAGCTGAACTTACACGTGGCTTGGGAGTACCACCCGGCATTATGCCAGACTTGTGGTAAAAAAAGGTGCAAGACTCCTGTCATTTTCATAGAAAATTATGGAAGAACAGTAGAAAGACAGAGACTCCACTGAATGTCTTTTCTTCTCCTCGTGTGTCCTGTTCAATCCTCTTTTTGCTAGTTGAAAAATGTGCTGAAAGTTAAGCTTGTGTCTGAAATACAGTTGGACAAACACAAGAGACACAATTGCACATTTTTGTCAGGAAACCCTGCTGTCTGCAGCCAGATATTTTGCACTTGCGATGAAAAATGAGCAATTAATGTACAGATGAGACTTCTCAATAGCCACCATAGGAGCAGTTAAGAACATATCCAAGATTTTGTAGGCTTGCATAGACCAAGGCACCTGGTTTTCATGGTCAGGAGAGAGGGTGACTGCTCTGAAGACTGATTGCTTTTGTCCAGGCTTTAAGTTTCTCCAGATCTTACAGGACAGTAAAAACTCATTCAGTGTTTTTTGCTAATTTATGATTTAGCATTAGAGACTTCTTATATGTAGCTAAATCCAGAGTCTCTGTTGCACTGGATTTATGCTTAGTCTTGCAGAGCTGCCTAGTAAAAGGCAGGGCTAGTCTGAGTATAAATTAGAGCAATTTAGGCATGTGAGTCCTCAGAAGTATAAAACGTGCTCTGGCCACTTCTTGCCAGCTCCTAATGCATCCTGTGCTGGTGTCAAATGGGATCTGTGCAGGATCCAGTCCTGCTGGCTCTGTGTCAGCAGGGAGCTCCCCCATGGCAGGGAAATTCTTAGCTGAGCACAAGAAGGAGCTTTCCAGATCCTTTCTACTAGAAAGCTAACCAGGACCATGCATTTTTCAGGCTCTGGATATTTATGTGTTTGTTTATTTTAAATAAGAAATATCACTTTACCCCTCCCATCCATCTTTTTTTTTCCCAAATGCTTTATAGCTGTGGAAGTTGTAAATTGTAGTATTTATAAGTAACAATATTTGGTTATGATGGTAAGTTTATGAGAAAAGATTGACTTTTTGCCCCTCACGAGTCTGATGGACTTTGCAAAATCTTAGTATGATGGTTTGTAGCAGGAAGACAGGAAACTTTTGGCTTAGGAATCAAATTTGGCTGAATTGTAGGGCTTCTGTAGCCAAAGTTATGAAAAAAATGACCTTTTACTGAATGGAACATTTATCTGTTTTGTTTCTGTGAAACTATTTTTATGAGAATATTTTAGTTATATGCTCTTTTTCCTGATAAATGTAAGTTTAAAATAGTTGCTGTAGAGTAAAAGTCATTGAAATTTAGAGCTTTTATGAGATAACACTTCCAGTGTGAGGCTGGGGCCTATGAGATTAAGAGCCCAAACCCCACAAAATTAAAAAACATTGTAAAAGCTAGAATTTCATGGTGGCTAACTTTAAAAATAGCACTTTTTTGCCATTGAAAACAAAATCAGAAAAAAATATGCCCTCACTAATTGTGTATAGCAGTCTGCAACAGGGCATTGTTTCAGCATGCATACAATATTTGTTTTTAAAAAAAAACCGTCATACACATACACAATAGTTAGGGAAAATACCAGTTCAAGACAATTCAGCCAGATGTGCAGTGCTAACCAGTTGCAGCAGTGCAATAGTATTCAAATAACAAGATGGAAAATGTAGAATGCAATCTTTAAAAATAATCCATTTTTCTCCTCCAAACAGGATACCAGTCTAAGGCTGTGTTGGCATCACTCAAAGAGCAGCAAAGCTCAGTAGTAGTAGTAGTTCTTGATTTTAAAGTGATTTTTATTTCACTGTTATGAAATCAACCTTTTGTATAACTTTTGATCAGGAGAGGATGCTTTTTGTAAAGGAAACACAATAACGCTCTAAACTGTCCCAGCTTTGTGTTTTGTGGTAGAAATTACTGAGTACAGAAAATCACTTAGGACTGAGTAACTAGATTTACTTCAAAGATGTGATGATAATGTTGTTGTCCAAATGTTAGATCTTGTGAAAGTAAGGTCTGTTCAGCCACCTTAACATTTTTTCTGTTACATCAAGGCTGGGTATCTGTGCACATACTTATTGGGAAGAAGAGATCAAAATTGAATAGAGTTTATCTAATTTAATGTGAAATGTTGAGCAGGGGAAGCAGAATCATATTTGGCTTTATCTAGATTGAGAAAAGGCTAAGTCAGACAGTAAATAAAGGACTTAAACCTAACCTGTGTCCATTGGTTTCACTTTTCCCAAACTATGGCTCAGATGAATCTGAGTGTGTTAAACATTTTTAAACAGTATTTCAACAGTTACTGTACCTGCTACTGTCACTGGTTTCAGTGGGAGAATAGACAGAGCATCTGGAATCCTTTGTACTTGGTTTCTGAAGCTTCTGTATAATAAGGAAAGTGATTGAGTTGAGCCCTTTACCACTTCTAATCCATAGCTGTCTGGCAAGAAAACCTGTGAGTATCCATACTAGTAGTGTGACTGAAATTAGTAACTTGTGTTGATAATATTCCTTAGGATTGGATTATAATTTATTTTATTTTAAAAATATTTATTTTTATAATTTATTTTATTGATCGATCAAAAATCTTTGATAGATGCATGCTCAGGTTAATTATATGAGAAACCAAATTGTTTACACAAAAAATGGTACATAGATACTGTATTTTAAAGTACTGCTAATACAGAGAAATGCTAAAGTTCCTTTCTCCCTGTGGAATTGAAAAACAGGGTTCTTGTTAAGCTTGACTGTGTGTTTGTAATCAAGGGGAAACAGGGTACTTTAGAGCAGTGGTAATCAAAGGCCATAATCTCTCATCAACCTAATTGATAACCTTCTATTTGAGCATGTTAGGGGGCAGACAAAGTCAGGCTAAGATTGCTGTGCTTATGAGGACATCCAGATACTATCTGACAAATATATTCCCATTCTGGAAAAAAGTAAGCATAATTACCTTGCAAAACATATATGAAGTTCAGCTAATTGGGATTTTATGTGCAAACTGGAAGCAGATGGTAACTTTCAGCAACCTATTCCTGGTCAAGATTAGATATTAAAAATAAAGGGATTCCTGGTGGTAAAAATAACCTCACAAATTTAAGTATCATTTTATACCTTACTAAATGAAACATAGTACCTTCTATTTCAGAAGTAATTTTTATACCTATATACATATATATAAAATATGCACTGATTGCAAAAAAAATTACAGTCTAACTAGAGTCAAAATATATGATGGAGAATGTTTCCTTCTTACTGTAAAACACTCATCTTTATCTGTAAATTTTTCTTCTGCATTTTCAGTCTTGTGTATTGTGAACCAAACTTCATAGAATTTCATAGAAAATCTACACTACATTTGCCATTAAATTACCAACATTATTTGATGTAAAGGAAAGCAGCAGACTGAGTCTGACTTTTCAGATTAACTTGCTGAAA